AATGAGACTGTACCAAATGATGGCCAAAGAAGAGTCATCCATTCTACTCCTTCTCTTTTGTCTGGTCACTCAGAAATATAATATTATCTGTAAAAAAGCCAAAGTGTAAATATTACTTTCAGAACTCTTTCCCCTCTCATTCAATAATTTCCCTTTAATACATACATACTTGAGTACTGTTCATTAAATGGATTTTAGACAAATTTTCAAAATATTAAGTAACTTGGTAAGTTCGTGAGAGGTGTGCGTGTGTGTATATATACACACATACATATGTATGTGTGTATATATTGTTGGCCTAAGTGGAGCTAAAAGTTAGGCACTGGTTGTTTTTCTAACAATTCAGATTTTGTTAGAAGAGGAGGGATATTTCTTGTCTTCCCTGAAAACAAGATAAACTCTTCTCGGAAACAATTTCCTGCAAAAGAACTGGTCACAAAATTGGATGCTTGCAACAGTCAGGCAGATCCCATGAAACCAGGCAGCACATCCCCAGAGAAAAGGTCAAAAGCATATCATATTCCACATTCTGAAGCTCTAGAGGAAAGGATAAAAGTCCATATGTGGTCCTGTTAGCAATGACAGGATTTATTTATGTTTTTAACTTTAAAAATTCAAATAGAAGATATTTTAAAATTATAAAAAAGAGTAACTTTTTTCTTTGTTTTTCGAGATGGAGTCTCTGTCACCCAGGCTGGAGTGCACTTACTGCAACCTCTACCTCCTGGGTTCAAGTGATTCTCCTGCCTCAGCCTCTTGAGTAGCTGGGATTATAGGTGTGCACTATCATGCCTGGCTAATTTTTGTATTTTTAATAGCGACAGGGTTTCACCATGTTGGTCAGTCTAGTCTCGAACTCCTGACCTCAAGTGATCCGCCCGCCTCGGCCTCCCACAGTGCTGGGACTACAGGCATGAGCACTGCATCTTGCCCAGAATAATTTTAACATACCAATTCTTGGGAAAATTTTTATCAATCAACGTCAGAGTATTTTTATCCAAAAAATCAGACACTGATTTAAAATGCTATTCCAGAGGGAGTTAGCTAAAGTAAACAAAAGAACATAGGCAAGTACTAATCATCCTTCAGCATCCATGGGGGGACTGGTTCCAGGACCCCTATGGACACCAAAATCCTCAATGCTCAAGTCCCTGATATAAGATGGTACAATAATCACATATAACCTATGCACTTCCTCTTGTATACTTTAAGTCATCTCTAGATTGCTTACAATATCTAATACAACGTAAATGCTATGGTAACAGTTGTTACACTATATTGTTTCACTTGTTTTTTATCATTGTTGTTGCATTATTTTTATGGGTTTCTTTTTTTCAAATATATTTGATCTGTGCTTAGTTGAATCCACAGATGCAGAACCGAGGGACATGAAGGAATGACTGCATCTCCTTTATAATTCCAAAAAGATCTAGATTCTTATAACTATAAAATTATCCACAAAGGACTGAATATTTCTTCACGACCACAGTCTTCCAAAAACTAGAATGTTCTGGTCTAGATCGGTTACTTCAGAAGAGACTATCTGAATTAACATCACTGTGGAAAAAGCCAAGAGTGCCATCCACTGGTGGTTATTTTTAAGTTAGAGACAGGATCCCTAGAAGGAAAAAAAAAGTGACCAATAAAACAGATCAACCAATAAACTATTTTCCTCAATTCAAACGTCACTGACGATCTCTTCGATTTTACCATTAGACATAAACCTAAAATTAACCAACCATGCTAGTGGAAACTAGTGACAAGAAAAAAACAAAGCAGCAGATCATCTGAAATGCTTGTTTGGCTTTGTTAGTAACAATTCAATAATCTGAACAATCTAACGTTTGCCCACCCTATTAAAGTGGAACCCACAGGAGGGTAGGAAAATACCTACTCTGCTTTTCAAGGTTAATACACTTTCAAAGAAACTTACCAGTAAGAAAACATACGAGCATTCTATACAACAAAGTATAAATCCCTTTTTTTTTTTTGTTTGTTTGTTTGAGACGGAGTTTCGCTCTTGTTACCCAGGCTGGAGTGCAATGGTGCGATCTCGGCTCACCGCAACCTCCACCTCCTGGGTTCAAGCAATTCTCCTGCCTCAGCCTCCCGAGTAGCTGGGACTACAGGCGTACGCCACCATGCCCAGCTAATTTTTTGTATTTTTAGGAGACGGGGTTTCACCATGTTGACCAGGATGGTCTCGATCTCTTGACCTCGTGACCCACCCACCTCAGCCTCCCAAAGTGCTGGGATTACAGGCTTGAGCCACCGCGCCTGGCAACAAATTATAAATTCTTAATAAGGTATGGTAGTTAAGACATGAAATCCAGAACAAAGGAAACAAGAAAGATAAAAGGAAAATCTAAAAGGCTTATAGAAACCATATAATATAATGCATGAATGTTTATGAAGTAATCAAGAAAATGTGAACACTTTGATATTTAGTAAAAAAAATTAACAGTAATTTATCAATATTAGGTGTGACAGTAGCACGGTAGTTTCACTTTCAAAAAGACATCTTATCTTTCAGATATTCCTATAGAAATGTATGAATGAATGTATGTCTAAGATCTGTTTCAAAATAATCCAGATAGAGGACAAGTAACTGGAGGCATGGTTGAAATAACGTTGTCCATCAGCTAATACTGAAGCAAAGTGGCAGGTATTCATTTTACTATTCTTTCTACTCCTACATACGTTTGATAACTTCCATGGTTAAAAAAAAAAAAAAAAAAAAATTTTTTTGAGAGTCTTGCTCTATTGCCCAGGCTGGAGTGCAGTGGTGTGAGCTCAGGTCACTGCAAACTGCCTCCTGGGTTCAAGTGACTTTCGTGACTCAGCCTCCTGAGTAGCTGGGACTACAAGCACACATCACCAGACCCGGCTAATTTTTGTATTTTGTGTAGAGACAGGGTTTCACCATGTGCACCAGACTGGTCTTGAACTCTTGACTTCAAATGATCCACCCACCTTGGCTTCTTGAAGTACTGGGATTATAGGCGTGAGTCACTGTACCCAGCCCAAAAATTGATTTTTAAATGATATTATCTAATTTGGGCATATCTCCGAGGTTCATAAACACAGAGACGTGAATATAGTAAAATTAATTTTATTGCCATGTTATTTCTTTTAAAAAAGGTCTCTTAGTATTTATATCTATAAAAACAAACAAAAGCACAAAAATTAACAATGTCTAATTTTAGCTATTTATTCAAGAAAAGGGAAAAAAGCACCATCTATCTCATTTAAAGACATATTTCCAATATAATTTAAATACATTAAAATTGTTTTGGTCAATTAGGTACTAAAAACAACTTTAATGATAAGTCAGTTGAGGAGAATTTGTCATAGAATTCTTTTAAATATTTCACTTTATTTTATATACGCATTTTTTTTTTTTTGATGGAGTTTCGCTCGTTACCCAGGCTGGAGTGCAATGGCGCGATCTTGGCTCACCGCAACCTTGGCTCACCGCAACCTCCGCCTCCTGGGTTCAGGCAATCCTCCTGTCTCAGCCTCCTGAGTAGCTGGGATTACAGGCATGCACCACCATGCCCAGCTAACTTTTTGTATTTTTAGTAGAGACGGGGTTTTACCTTGTTGACCAGGATGGTCTCGATCTCTTGACCTCGTGATCCACCCGCCTCGGCCTCCCAAAGTGCTGGGATTACAGGCTTGAGCCACCGCGCCTGGCCTATATATGCATTTTGTTACAAATAAAAAATTCTTAACTATCCCATATATTATTAAGATACACTTCTGAGGGGAAAATAAAAATAGTAAAACAAGCTCAAAGAAAAAAGAATAATGTAAAATTTCCAAATGCTGAATTGGTATTTTTTTTTTACAGGATAGTAGGTATCACATTGCTATGCTATTTAGATCCCATTAATACATTTAAAAATAACACAATTTTACAATTGAAAAAAATTTCTAATGTCACCTACTGATGTCCAGAGGGGTATACTATTTTCAAAATTCTCAGAGCATTTTGAAAAGTTTAAAAACTCTTTCCTAGGGAATATCTTCTTAATCCTTTTCAAGCTTTAAGTGTACATCTTTTCTATGCTGTATTTTGTTTAAAGGGAATATTAGGCCAGACCTAACGGTTCATGCCTGTAATTCCAGCATTTTGGGAGGCCGAGGCGGGAGGATCATTTGAGCCCAGGAATTTGAGACAAGCCTCGGTAATGTGGTGAAACCTCGTCTCTACAAAAAAAATTGAAAAATTAAGCCAGGAATGGTAGTGTATGCCTGTTGTTTCAGCTACTTGGGAGAAGGCTGAGGTGGGACATCACCTGGGCCTGAGGAGGTAGAGATTGCAGTAAGCTGTGATCATGCCATTGCACTACAGCCTGGTCAACAGAGGGAGACCCTATCTCAAACCAAAACCAAAAAAAAGGTAACATATAAACTTCTTGGCTGAGCACAGTGGCTCACGCCTGTAATCCCAGCACTTTGGGAGGCCGAGGCAGGTGGATTACCTGAGATCAGGAGTTTGAGACGACCCTGACCAACATGGTGAAACCCCGTCTCTGTGAAAAATACAAAAATTAGCTGGGTGTGGTTGGCAGGTGCCTGTAATCCCAACTACTTGGAAGGCTGAGACAGGAGAATCGTTTGTACCTGGAAGGCAGAGGTTGTAGTGAGCTGAGATCGTGCCATTGCACTCCAGCCTTGTCAACAGAGAGAGACTCTGTCTCAAAAATAAAATAAAATTAAAAAACTTCTTAATTTCAAATAGAAATTTCAGCATACTAAGTACCAAAGCGGTTCCAAATAAATCTGCATGCTCACATTAGTGTAACTCTTATCTTGGCACATGCTTCTTTCTGGTTAGGGCTAGATGCCTCCAAAAGATCATACATTACGTTTTTGTATTTCAGTTTCAGGATTTATTCAAAAGTTACTTGTGAACTAAAACTGTGAGTATAAAAATAACTCTTTAAAGGAATGGATAAATGTAGAAACTCTTAGCAAGTAGAAAAATCAGAGTCATGGGCATCTTCTAGTGAGTTGCCTCACCTCACAGGAACTGGTACTCTCAACCCTAGTTAGTTACAGTGTAGCTAAGCTTTTAAGAAAGAAAAGGAGAAGAAAAAACAGTTATTATCACAAGCTTCTTACCAGCTATGACTGTTGTTGCTTGTCGCCTCACATTATTTTTATCCATGTATTCACCATAGTCTATTTTCCCTTCCACATAAATTCGAGACCTGATATAAATAAAATTTAGTTTTTAGCTGAGATCCTAATACGCTTTAAAAGACTCAAGTCAGGGTGATACTGAGTACATGACAAGGATGAAATATATAATCATACACCTTATTTTTGCTACCACTTCTAAAGGTTCAGGATTAGGAGTACTAAAACAGTGTACAAACAGACTTCATAACATATAGATAAAACAGACAATATTTCCATCTGTCAGCTATTCCCCTTACAGAAGTCAAAAATTAAAACAGTTCAGAGAGCAACTTAGTGGCAACTTTTAAATTTCTAGGAATAATTTCCAATGTATCATTTTCCTTAATCTTTGATTTTGGAGTCCCCAGCACATTTGATTTTCATTTACTTATCAATTCTTTTCTATAGTGAGGTTCATGATCTTAGAAACTTAGATGATTCAAATTCAAAACATGGATTTGCAGCTTAGTATAATATTACTAAAACTATATCTACACTGTATCAGCTTAGTATACCACTTAGAGGTAATTACTAAGACTATTTCTACACTATCTTGAAGGCTAAACTAGATAACAAACCTAATCATGATTTTCAAGGGTGGAAAAATGACAATAGCACCAGTTTTGAGAGTCTGCCAGCACCAAAAAAGGGCAACACAGAAAGATTAGTAAAATGTCAGGGGCTCACCACCCCCTACACACATCCATCAGTCAGTAAGTGGGAGTGCAGACACTTACTTTGAAATACCTTATATGTGTTTGTGTGTGTATGCGCACTTATTCATAAATACATAAAGGGCAATGAAGATACATATGAAGAAAAACTAATCAGTTATTGAAAAGAAAAATTTGAGTGACTGCTACTTTTCATGAAATTTGTTTTATTTCTACAAAACAAGTATACTTCTAAACATATTAACTATTAATACACTGCTGTTACACACACCATTTTGTCCTTCCATGAGTTTGGAAAAGATGCCTTTTATACATATTCAATTCAAGAATTCCAAAGGGAACTATGAAGCCTATAGAAAAACATCAAATACGAGGCCGGGTGTGGTGGCTCATGCCTGTAATCCCAGCACTTTGGGAGGCTGAGGTGGGTGGATCACCTGAGGTCAGGAGTTTGAGACCAGCCCGGCCAAAATGGTGAAACTCTATCTCTACTGAAATACAAAAAAATAGCCAGGTGTGGTGGTGGGTGCCTGTAATCCCAGCTACTCAGGAAGCTGAGGCAAGAGAATCGCTTGAACCCAAGGGGTGGAGGCTGCAATGAGTTGAGATCGTGCCATTGCACTCCAGCCTGGGCAACAAGAGTGAAACTCCGTCTCAAAAACAAAAAAAAAGAAAAAGAAAAAAGAAAATCAAATATAAAATAACTGCCATGAAGATTAAGTCAGTGTCAGGCTTCAGACATTCCAGATCCTCTGCTGGAAATATCATGTGGATGCCAACAGGCAAGAAGCCACCCTGAACATCCCTGGTCACAGAGGCACAGGAACTCCTAAAAGCACGCTACATCAATTGCTCATATGGCACTTGATACACTTTGCCTTCTCTCCTGCCTCATCTATTTCTATTTATGTACACACCTTGTTTGCCCTGAACTCTAAGTTCCTAGAAAGCTAAAAATATGTTTTTTTATACCTTTGAATTAGTCACACATGGCAACATGCCTTGCATATTATATCAAGGACTTAATAAATACCTCTTAAATTAATAGAGTCATTAGTAGTACTCAGGGATTTAAGAGGCTACACACTCCTTGCCATGAGAACACTTCTTATCAGTTCTGTAAGATCCTTCCTTCTTCAACTTACCCCTTTCTCACATACTGATATGCCACATCTCTGAGGCCTGGCCGGAATACTGATATTCTGTGCCACGTTGTCTTTTGACTGACATCGCCTAAATCATAAGAATAGGAAATTGGTTACAAATGCCAACAGACAACATGCTCAGGAAAACCAATGTCACAATTTCTAAGAGAACAAACAGAATGAAAGACAGATCTTCAAGTGGTTTATCTCTAAATTAGATAACTGGTAATAAATAATGTCTATTTATTGCTGATAAAACTAAAACCCCAGTCTTTTCTACTCACCCATTTGGTAAGCTTCACTTTCCCCTGATCGCCACATCTCATTTGTTGCTAGAGAAAATATTGTGACTGGATTTTTTCCTTCTGCCTGTCTCAAGACAGGGTCCTGACCCACTCGCCCAAGTAACTGCACACGATTCAGGGCTGAAATGCAACATCAAGACCAAATGAGACAGAGAACCTGCTATAGACTGAGTATTTGTGCTCCTTCCCCTGAAATTTGTATGTTCAAGCCCTAACTCTCAAGGTGATGGTACTTGGAGGTGGAGCCCTTAAAAGGTAATTAGGCTTAGATGACATCATCATGGTCAGGTGTCCTTACAGAAAAAGGAAGAGTTCAGAACTTTCTGTCTCTACCATGTGAAAACACAGTAAGAAGCCTACTATCTGCAAGCAAGGAAGAGGGCCCTCACCAAGAGCCCAGTCATACTGGCACACTAATCTTGGACTTTTAGCCTCCAGAACTGAGAGAAATAAATGCTGTTGGTTAAGCCACCTGGTCTATGGTATTGTCTTACAGCAGCCTATAAGCTGACCATTAAAGAAATCCACACCTATGATTGAAAGATATGTCCAGAAGAAATACTATAAATATTACTTCAACTTCAATCTCTGTATTAAGTAAAACTCAAGTTCTAGAAGATCAGAAAATAAGGGATGAATACGGAAAGGTTGCGAGAGAAAAGAAAGTGGCAAGAAAGAAGAAAATAGTCATAGAGAAAGCAGCCCCACAAAACAAACTGTAACCTCTATATCTTAAATTCTTTTTTAAGATACCTTTTTTAACTGACTGTGGAAAGAAAAGAACAAATCTGAGATCTGAAAATCTTTATAAATACAAGGGAACATTTCTGTGAAGATAGAATATCTTTTACAATCTCAGCCTGCAATAACATAACCTGGGAAGACTCAGATAACCAAAATATGACTCAGGAAATTCTTATGCAGGACAGTGATGATGAGAATGAGTAGTCATTGACTGATAAGAAGAATAGGGGCTCAGTTTATACTATGTGTCCACAGCCTGATGGGTCACAACCAAGATCTGAAGAGCAAATGTGAGCTAAAAGCACAATAACATGGTTAACCTAACCAGCATACCTCTTCTACAGCACATCTGAGATCAGCAAATTGCTAAAAATAACATTTTAAACTTGGAAATTAGCTACTCACATCTTTCAAGAACCAAACTGGCAGCTGCGTCGGATGCATGTCTTACAAACTGATGAAGTACCTAAAGAAGAACAAATGAATAACATAGCTTTAATTTTTTAATTAAGGCAAATGCCAACAGAAGAATTACTCACATTCATTGACCATTTAGTCAGTAGTTCCTATAAATTCCAGAAGAGATGAGAAGCTCTTCCCATGTTCTCCCAACAGAGTGCCAGAAGGACAAGGCAAACACTTCAAGAGCAGCATACTGCAGAAGTCCAAAGGTACAAGGAAGGTACTAGAAGGCATGCTCAAGAGTTAATTTATAGTCCTCCCGTTTCTTTTTCAACAATCTTCCTGATTATGGCACTTCTGTGTTCACACACAGAAGGAAAAATCAAAATAGTAGCACTTTAACATTACAGAGTATGAAAATGTTTTTAATCTAACCTGTACCTAAGAGTTGCTGCCAAGTATTTTCAGAATCCAGCTTTCATTAGCTGGAGAGACAAAATGTACTATATATATCCAATATATACAGCCTCTAATCCTTTTTTTTTTTCAGTATAAACAACTGGTATATTATTACTATATTTTGGTTATACTAGACTTTAGAAATTAAGAAATTTAGATCTAATATGGGTACTGATTTAATCCATCATTAAACCAAAGGCAACTTAAAATGTTTTATAATTAATAATTTTATAAACAGATTCATTAATAACATATGCAATAATCTAACAGGTGTCAGGAGGTGTGGAATAAATACAACGTCATTACTTAAGCCTCACTCTCAGCCATAATAAACAGCTAGTTTAGAGTGGGGTCCCTAACCTCCAGGGCCGAGGACTAGTAGAGGTCTGTGGCCTTTTAGGAATTGGGCTGCAAAGTAGGAAGTGAGAGGCAAGCATTACTGACTGAGCTCTGTCTCCTGTCAGATCAGCAGCAGCATTAGATTCCCATGGAGTGCAAACTCCATTATGAATTGCACATGCAAAGCATCTAGGTTGTGTGCCCCTTATGCGAACCTAACTAATGCCTGATGCTCTGAGGTGGAACGGTTTCATCCTGAAACCATCCTTGCGGCACCCTCCTCCTCCATGGAAAAACTGTCTTCCATGAGACCAGTCCTTGGTGCCTAAAAGGCTGGGGACTGCTGGTTTAGAGAATGAGAAATAGGTTAAATTCCAACAAAACAATACATTCTTAAACTAATCACATGAATGACTTTCTGACATAGGAACAGCAACATATTCCAAAATCAGACCCTGTGTCTATGAAACTGCCTTCCCCTGGTTGCTCCTGCAGAACTTTAAGGGAATTAGGATACATCAAATATGATTAACCTGAAGTGTTTCACTTCAAAATAAGCAAAAATTATAATAGTCAATATCTACTTCATAAGGCTATTTCAACTTCTGCAGTGAAGTCAGCCTAACATAGTTTCTATAAATATTTCATGGGAAATTTCATTCCTTCAGTGCATCAAAAAAAAGCTCTAATAAATTTGGTTCTTTGATTAAACACAAAGATTCGACTGTCCAAGTCAAAGTCATATCCTTGTCAGAAGAGGTAGTCACTACCACGTAATAGCAACAATTATCACTGAATATCAGCTAAGAAATTTATCTATTATCAATTCTAAAACTAAATATAAAATTATCCCCATTTAGAGCTGAGAAAACCATCTCAGAGAGACTGCAGAACCTGCCCAAGATCCTGCAAGAAGTATGCGGCAAGTGATCTCAAGGACCCAGGACCCTCTGACACCAATGTTACTGCTTTCCCAAAGCCCTCTGCTGCCTCCTTAATTTCAAGAGCTACTGTAAAGATAGGAGTACACATCACTGAATTCAGAGTTCAGAGAGCTAGCCATTCTATCAGATAAACATTTTCAAAGTGGCAATACTGTTAATATAAAAAGCATAAGTCTACCAATCAAATAAACACCAACTCCCTGGGTACTGCTGGCTATCTAATCCTATCACTAAACTTGGGGGCAGAGGGTGGATAAAAGAATAAAGATATGAGCACAACATTCTATAGAATCAAACTGCTAACTAGAACCTGTGTCATGATTCTGATAATGTACTCATTTGAGTGCTCAGACAAGCTAGACCTCATAAATCTTACACAGTAACAATGTCTCATTTTGGGCACACAAAAATCAAGATGTACTGGAGAAGATTAGGAAAGGATTATTTGGATAATTTTTTAAATTAAACTTCTGACTTTTATTCAAAGACATTTTAATACTGTAATATTAGTGTTACTGAAAAACAACTTTTTCATGTTTCACATTTCAATACAGAAAAATTAGATTAAAGATACATATAGGTTAAAGAGGGGATCCAAGAATATAAGATTAAGGTAGGAAAAATGATAGCATCATGGAGGAACTGATTCTTCATTGGTCTTCACAGGATAGGGAGTAGGAGAGAAGTATGATAAAGAATTTGGTGCCCAAATGTGTTTAGGAAAAATGGTAATCTAAGCCAGCTCAAGGTGGGCTAGAGTGACTGGAAAAGTGAGGAGCCAGATTAAGTGGAATGAGAAGGAATTTTCTACATAGTGAAATCTGTGGTGACCATTGAGATGTGAGCTGCTCTCTTCAGTGTGGAAAGATGGAGGAAGAGGAATGTTTAGCAACACAGGAGGTAGATGGTCAAAAAAGCAACTACATGCCTTAAGAAAAAAGTTGGAACGATGATTCCTACAGTCCTTAGGTCACTAAAGATCTTTAAGGCCGGGCGTGGTGGCTCAAGCCTGTAATCCCAGCACTTGGGAGGCCGAGGAGGGTGGATCACGAGGTCAAGAGATCGAGACCATCCTCGTCAACATGGTGAAACCCCGTCTCTACTAAAAATACTAAAAATTAGCTGGGCATGGTGGCACGTGCCTGTAATCCCAGCTACTCAGGAGGCTGAGGCAGGAGAATTGCTTGAACCCAGGAGGCGGAGGTTGCGGTGAGCCGAGATCGCGCCATTGCACTCCAGCCTGGGTAACAAGAACGAAACTCCGTCTCAAAAAAAAAAAAAGAAAAAAAGATCTTTAATCTCCTATCACTGGTTAAATTCAAGCAACCAGTTTTAAAAATTAATGATTCCTATTACATTATGTGAATAAACCTCAACTTTTTTTTAGTGAACATAATTTACACTGGAAAACTCCATCCCCAGTCCTCCATATCAAACGAATACAGAGGTGGGTGGGTGAGCTCCCAGGTCTTTTGCCCCTGTAGTTAAAAGCCTAAAGATATCTGATCACTGTGTCTGACAGTAATCCATCTCAATATTAATACAGACAAGTGACTACCTGTAATACAGGTCTTCGAAACATGGCTTCTGTTTTCTTTTCTTACAGTGTAATCTTTAGGCTGTTCCTGAAGGGAAAAAAAAGAAGAAGAAAGAAACATCACATCTTATGGCAAAAGCAGTTTTGCGACCAGAGCATACCAACATTCCTGCACACCTGGTGAGAATTCCTTCTTCCCGCCCAAATACACTCACACCTGTGTCTTTTTGGTCCCAAATAACTTCCTCTTTCTCTAACCCATACATACAATTTTTATTCTGAGTTAATCCCACTTCCAATCCACTGTCTTCTCAAATTTCATTACAATGCAAGCCCGCCCTTAGGGCAGAGATTTGTATCTGCTTTATTCACTGCCATTTTCTAAACTTCTTTAAAAAAAGTTCTTAACGCATAGTGGGGGCTCAATAAATATTTGCGTCTCCAAGGGACTTATATCTGAAACCTGCTGCTGAAAAATTACTGCCTTCATCTCCGTTAACAAACACCAGGCAGCGCAGAAACCGCCGGGCTACGCAGCCACACTGGTACCACACTGCGGTAGCCCCACACAGTCTCGGGAGAGACTGACGCCCTTTCCTGGTGGTGGCGCCACCACCTGAAAACCGAGAACCGGGAGGAAACCACGCTGTCCTCCGCACAGCTGAGAAGGAAAGGGCCAGACCCCCACACAGCACCACCTCCCGATCCACGCGGGACCGCGCTCAGCCAAAACACACGACCCCAGCACTTCTGTCACGCCTCCCCTCCGTACCTCCCTCACCTGACACTCTAACCCAACCAGCCCGGCCAGTCAGGCGATCACTTCCGGGGCACAGGGAACGCGAAGCTCGCGAGAGGAAAAAGGAAACAGAAACTCCGCAACGTGCGCCTTGGAAATACTGCCGGCCAGCCCTGAGGGAAACGCCTCCCCTTAACTCTGAAGTTCCGCGAGCTTCTCTTTGGGCGCGAGAGGATGGATCAAAGCCGCCAAGTGGTAAATTCGGAACGTTTCAAGTTTCGAATGAAATGCAGTTACGTGATGAGGTTCCTAACTGGGCCCGGGAAGGGGCGAGATGGGCGAAACAGAACAGCTCAGCCTGGGGGGGCAAAGGCAAAACATGATGACAGGCCTAGTCGACAAAGTGCGGCCTGTCTCTCCAAAAAATAGAAAAATGAGCTGGGCGTGGTGGCGCGCGCCGGGGGGCCAAGCTACTCGGAAGGCTGAGGTGGGGGGATCACCTGAGCCCGGGAGGGCGAGGCTGCAGTGAGCCCAGATCGCGCCTCTGCACTCCAACCTGGGCAACAGAGTGAGACTCGGTCTCAAAACAAAAAAAAAAAAAAAAAGGAAGAAAGGAAGGAGAGGAAGGAGGGAGGGAGGAAGAAGGAAGAAAGGAAGGAAGGAGGGAAAGGAAGGAGAGAAAAAAGCGAAGGGAGGGAGGGAGGAAGAGAGGGAGGAAGAAGGAAGGAAGGAGAGAGAAATGTGAAGGAAGGGAGGGAGGAAGGAAGGAGGGAGGGAGGAAGGAAGGGAGGGAGAAAATTTCCCAGGCCTGTTAAAGCACTAGAAAAGCAGAAAAAGAAAGGAGAGCCAGGGAAGGGCTGACAGATTGTGAAATTTAAGGGAACACCAGAAAAACTGGTAATCAAATAGTATGTGAATGTAGTATTTTAAAACATAAAAATTAATGCAAGAAATCCAGGAGGAACAAAATAAGAGTCATGTGTAGCTTAAAAACAGGGAAAGGTCTGAGGAATGCATCATTAGGCCGTTTTGTTTCTGTGTGCACACCATAGAATGGACTTTCACAACGTGGATGGTAAAGCCTGCTACACACCTAGGCTGTGTGGTGTGGCCTGTTGCTTCCAGGCTGCAAACCTGAACAGCATGGGACTGTACTGAATAGCAGACCATTGTAATACATGGTAAGTATTTGTGTGTCTAAACATATGTACACATGGAAAACATACAGTACAAATACAGTATAAAAAATTAAAATGGTACACCTGTATGGGGCACTTAGCATGAATGGAGCTTGCAGAACTGGAAGTTGCTCTGGGTGAGTGAGTGGTGACTGAACGTGAAGGCCTAGGACATTATTGTACCCCCTTATACACTTCATAAACACTATACACTTAGGCTACACTAACTTTATAAAAAATATTTTTCTTCCTTCAGCAATAAATTAACTTTAGCTTACTATAACTTTATAAATTTTTTTTTTTTTTTTTTTTTTTTTTTTTTAGACAAAGTTTCACGCTTGTTGCCCAGGCTGGAGTGCAATGGCGCTCAGCTTATTACAACCGCAGCCTCCCAGGTTGAAGTGATTCTCCTGCCTCAGCCTCCCAAGTAGCTGGGATTACAGGCATGCGCCACCATGCCCAGCTAATTTTGTATTTTTTAGTAGAGATGGAGTTTCTCTGTGTTGGTCAGGCTGGTCTCGAACTCCTGACCTCAGGTGATCCGTACCCCCCTCATGCTGGGATTACAGGCAGGAGCCACTGCACCCAGCCAAATCTTTTAATATTTGTTATGCTTTAACTGTTTTGTAATAACAATTAGCTTAAAACACACACTGTACCACTGTACAAACGTATTTTTCTTGTATTCTTATTTTATAAGCTTTTTTCTATCTTTGCTTCTTTTTTTTCCCTTAACTTTTCAGCCTTTTTAAAAAAAACTAAGACATAAACACACACATTAGCCTAAGCCTACAAAGGGTCATTATGATCAATCTCAGCCTTCCACCTCCACATCTTGTCCCACTGGAAGATCTTCAGCGACAGTGACACACAGGGAGCTGTCATCTCCTGTGATAACAGTGCCTTCTTCTGGAATCCCTCCTGAAGGACCTGCTTGAGGCTGTTTTACAGTTAACTCTTTTAAAATAAGTTAAATAATAATAATAAGTATAGTGACCAGTGACATAGTCATTATTACCATGTAACATGAGTAATACATTGCATTCTGATGTTTTAGTAGGTACGATGTCACTAGACAATAAGAATTTTTCAATTCCACTGTAATCTTATGGGACCACTGTTGTAAATGCAGTCTTTTTCCAAGACATCGTTATGCAGTGCATGACTGTATTAACATTGTAACTGAACACAGGATCCAAGCCATATTGGAGCCTGAGGCGCAAGGAAGAATGTGCACCCCTATGTGTATGTGTTTCTGTATTTTTTTAAAATTGGGGCTAGGAAGGTTACTGGGGGGCTGGAGGGAAGGTGGGGATGGTTAGTGGGTACAAAAGATGGAATAAATAAGACCTACTATTTTGTTTGTTTGTTTATATATATAGTTTATTGCACTTTAGGTTCTGGGGTACATATGCACAACCTGCAGGATTGTTGCACAGGTACCTACATGACAATATGGTTTGCCACCTCCATCCCCCCGTAACCTATATCTGGCATTTCTCCTCATGTTATCCCTCCCCAGCCTCCCTACCCACCGCTGTCCCTCTCCTATTCCCCCACAACAGACCCCAGTGTGTGATGCTCCCTTCCCTGTGTCCATGTGTTCTCATTGTTCAACACCTGCCTATGAGTGAGAACATGCGAAGACCTACTGCTTTTTATGGCACAATAGGGAGACTATAGTCAATAATTACTTAATTGTACATTTTAAAATAGCTTGAGTGTCATTGGATTGTGTGTAACTCAAATGATAAATGCTTAAGAGGATAGACACCCCATCCCCCATGATGTGCTTAATTCATGTTGCAGGCCTGTATCAAGACATCTAATGCACCCCACAAATATATATACCTACTTTGTACCCACAAAACTGAAAAAAGACAAAAAAAAAGAAAAAAATTTAATTAAAAAAATTTTGGCCAGGTCCAGTAGTAGCTCACGTCTGTAATCCCAGCACTTTGGGAGATTGAGGTAGGGGGATCACTTGATCCCAGGAATTCAAAACCAACTTGGGGAACATGGTGAAACGCTGTCTCTACAAAAAATAAAAAAATTATCTGTGTATAGTATGTGCTTGTAGCCCCAGCTACTAGGGAGACTGAAGTGGGAGGATAGCTTGAGCCTGGGAGGTTGAGCCTTCAGTGAGCCATGATCACACCACTACACTCAAGCCTGTGCAACAGAGCGAGACCCTGCCTCAAAAAAAAAAAAAAAAAAAAAAAAAAAACCTATATATGTGTATATATATATATATATATATATATATATAAAAATCAATATATATCTATATATCAATATATATAACAGTATATACATATCAATATATATACACATATATTTCCAGAACATTAAAGTCATTGAAGAAGTATTGAAAACAAAATTTTTAAAGTTGATATAACAAAAAAAACAAAACAAAACAGAATTGTATTAATAAAAACCTTCCCCCAAACTGAGAGGAAGCCGAGAAACCAAAGAATGACCCAGACAAGTCCAGCTTGGCGAGTAGATGAGTTCATCAGGATTTACATATGAGGTACTCCCGGAAGGCAACAGGACAGCTGTAGAGATCCACCTGGCCTCTCATCCCTAAGACACTTGTAAACTAATTTTCTGGCTTTTTACCTGCTGTGTGTTTGTGATGGAACTGTTTTCTTTGGCAGGTTCTCAGATATTCTCTGGGATATTTGGCTTGTCAGAAACACCTGCTCCTTGGCTGGTCACCATGGCCTTGGCACATGGCCTGGCCTTCAGGATTCAGGCAGTGTACATACACTCTTTGGTAGCCCAGGGAGGACCCGTCACACTACAGGTATATAAAAATTCACAACATTGTTTTAAGTTTAAATATTTTATGCCAAGATGGAATTTAATATAACTTTACTCTTAATGGAAGTAAACTGATCAGTAATGTTTTCAAATCGACTTCTTTCTTTTTTTTTTTTTTTTTTTGAGACGGAGTTTTGCTCCTGTTACCCAGGCTGGAGCACAATGGTGTGATCTCGGCTCACCGCAACCTCTGCCTCCCAGGTTCAGGCAATTCTCCTGCCTCAGCCTCCTGAGTAGCTGGGATTACAGGCACGCGCCACCATGCCCAGCTAATTTTTTTTTGTATTTTTAGTAGAGAAGGGGTTTCACCATGTTGACCAGGATGGTCTTGATCTCTTGACCTCGTCATCCACCCGCCTCGGCCTCCCAAAGTGCTGGGATTACAGGCTTGAGCCACCGTGCCCGGCCCAAATCCACTTCTTTCTCATCTTGTTTTGAGAGAATTGCCATGTCTCACAATTTTTCTTGACCAAGTAACAATCTTAAATAATTTTAATTAACTTTAGCTTACTGATCTTGTCTTTATTTAAAATCTTGGTATTTATTCATCTTGAATTTTTTTCATTAGTTTTAGAATATTTTACTAAAGTTTCACAAATCCTGATTGCTGAGTTTCTTGGTGCCCCTTAAATTCTGTCTCATTCATGCTAAGAATCTGGCAAAAATCTAGAAGGATGCTCAAAGAGGCCTAAAAATTTTTTTAAATTGAGGACTTAGAATAGTGCCTCCAATATATTTTTGTATCAGAGATTCCTTTTCAGGAACCTAAATTTTGCATTTTGATGAGGAAGCCCTGAAACCTCTCCATAGGATACACACACACACACACACACACACACACACACACACACACACACACTGTAGTTCATCCAGAGAGAACCTTCCCAATATTGTGAAGTAGTGACAGGTAGCATTATGGCTTTAATCAGCTTTAATGCCTGGCAATAGTGGACTCACTCAGGGCTTTTATCATTTGCAAAGATGAATTAGAAATATATATAATATATGCCCAGGGGTGCAAAGTCACCTTTGGCCCAGTTTATTTCTCCCTGAATTAAAAGGCTTACAGCTATACGAATCCATTGGTAGAGACCAGGACTGACAATGCTTTATCATAAATAGAAAGCTTTGAGCGGGGTGCAGTGGCTCAAGCCTGTAATGCCAGCACTTTGGGAGGCTGAGGCAGGCGGATCACGAGGTCAAGAGATCGAGACCATCCTGGTCAACATGGTGAAACCCCGTCTCTACTAAAAATACAAAACATTAGCTGGGCATGGTGGTGTGTGCCTGTAATCCCAGCTACTCAGGAGGCTGAGGCAGGAGAATTGCTTGAACCCAGGAGGCGGAGGTTGCGGTGAGCCGAGATCGTGCCATTGCACTCCAGCCTGGGTAACAAGAGCGAAACTCCATCTCAAAAAAAAAAAAAAAGAAAAGAAAAGAAAAGAAAGCTTTGGACAGTTTTGCTGTAAATTACCCATTTTTTAAAGGAAATTTTAATCAGATTTTTACTTTGATTTTAAATTAGCTTTTATAAAGCCTCATGATAACTGCTGAAAAATTACAGTACTTATTACCTACACTGATTACTTGTGTATATATTAGAATGGTTCAAAAGCAATTTAACAATACTTAGTAGTTATTATGGCTACTTTTTAAATTAAAGCAACAGACTTGACAATTTTTATGTAATTCAAGATTGAAAATATGGTTCATCTAGAGATATAAAGCCATAGTTTTTCAGGCTAAAAGGTTCATATCTTTCAATATTCATCTTTCTACAGCTTTCAATAAATGGCCTCTCTAAATTGGTACGTGTGTTAGAGTTTAGACCAGTAAAGCTCAGTAGCAGTTCTCTAGATCCCAAGACTATCTTTTGGTACCTTAATATAACATATTTTCTAAAGTATTAAATATACCTTCTTTAATGTTACCAGCCCACTGATGTTAATGAAATAATTGTGATAATTAGTTACTGACTTATATCATGATCTCTGTTCAAATATAAAACTTACTGAGATAAGGAATAAGCGTCTAACTGAAATGGAAGGGATGAAATGCCAAGGCCAGTGAAGACCCAGTCCCTCACACTCAATAGCATCTATGCAGATAGATACATACTATTTTGGTGACACCCTGCTACACTGTAGAGTGTACGGTGGCAGAGGTGGGGAGGTAGAGAGAGAGAGAATCAGATCCATTCAGGTGTGAAGCCAGGCTCTGAGGAACACAGGAGAGAAGAGGCTGTAGACCCAAATAATCATAGTTATCAATGCCTGAGAAGACTGGTATAACCAAACAATTCTCATCTATACATATGTACATCAGACGTACTTAATCATTTACCTATTTCTAAATCACAAATTGTGGTTGACCTTGTACTATACTACAAGGGACATGGCCTGGTGCTTGCAGTGGGGGCAGGGAGGCAAGAGATAAACTAACCCCACTTTGTAATTTTGAATACAGTCTAGCAAAGAAAAATGGCAATGGACTATAGGAAGAACACCACCACACGTAATTGCATGGAAAGAATTGCTATTCCAAAGCAAAACAAAGAATAGTATTAGGGTTTATTCAATTAAAAAACGTAATTAGCTTTCTAAAATGAGGGGAAAAAAAGAAAATCAAGCAGCACAAAAGCCATTATCATTAACAGGTTGCATTCACTAAGATGACACAAACAGAACTTACCAGATACCTTTAAGACCAACATAATTTTCCAGCAGAGCCTGACCATTATTAACTTTTGGATTTGTGAAGCTGGGACTTGCCACCAAGACCTGTTACTACCAACCCACAGAATTATCTTACCCTTTTATTCATAAAATGTTCTCCAACAGGCATTTCTCATTCTTTGTTAGTTACATTTTATAAAGAATATTTTGCTTGTAATTAGGCTTTGGACAAGATAAAAACCTTTATTTAAAAACACAGTGTTCTATTCCTTTTAAAATGTATACAGAAAAAGGATTTCAATAAAATAGGATTAAAAAATAGGAAACAAACGCAAATTCTCATAAAAATTAAGAGAAATTCGTGAGACCCAGAATATCAAACCAACCAGAACAGCCAGGAGAAAGGCAGGGCAAATAGATGGAGAACAGCCACAGTCACACTGAGCTTTCCTTGAAGCCCCTCCCACGGCATTTTTGTTCTGCAAGTTAACAACCAGCTCAAAGATGTCCAAGTTGCATAGAGTCTAACTTTTACCCACCTCACATAATAGTGAAGCCATTTATTTAACAAATACAGTATCAGAAAGGATATACATTAAGAGACCTACTTCCTCAAAGAAGCTGAGAATTCTCTTTTAGGAGTGGCATCCTATAACTTGGGAAGCACTGTGGAAATCCAGGCACATTTTCTGTTAGCTATTACTTCAACTCTAAACTAAATTCTATTCCTTTCTATGTACAATGAGTCCCTGGATCCTTGGTGGGGAATTGGGCAACAGCAACCTCATAATCCATAGGCCAAATCAAGGGCTGTTTCCTTTTCTTCCTTCATGTTCTTCAGCTGTTCATCAAAAGCATGAGAGGTAAATAAGCTGTTGATCAATGGCATTAGGAATATAACAACAGATAAGAGAAATAGCTTCCAATTATTGTATCAAAGCCTTACTAGCTTTAGGATCTTGGCTATGAATGCTAAGTTAGTAGTAGCTTTTGAAGTACTTGGGCATTAAAGTTGGCTCATTTTATAATTTTGTAAGAGGAAGTTTGGGACAGCTGATGTCTATTTCTGGAGGTTCTACAGTAAAAGGTTGGCTAGTGCAAAATGAGTTCTTAAGGGGAGGATTACTGACAGGTAAAGCTTGAAGACCTTGCACTCTTTCCTCCCACCAGGCGTTTTGTGCTTCTCGATCCTGTGTGGGTCCCAGAGATCCAAGTGTCATCATGATGGATGTCTTCCTGGGGTGACTGGGCCTGCTGGGCTTCCCTCAGTTCCCTGAAGTGCAAGGGGGGAAAAAGCAAAGGCTACTTGATCTCCAATCAGAGATACATATGATCAAAACTAATATATGAATGTTTTTCTTTTTGTTTCAGTATTTACTGAAATAAAAAGCTTGAGCTGTATACAGAATAGAAAATTCAGTTAATATGGATGTCATAAAAAATGGCTGACACACACATGCCAGGCAACATGGTAGGTTTAGCTTCCCAGACTCTGCTGATTGGAGTATAAATGATCTTTAAAATGTGTTAAATTAAGTGAACAGCTTCTTCAGGCTACATATTAAAGCTACCAGGGTCAACAAACCACAACTTCTGAGTCAAATCTGGCTCATCACCTGTATTTATAAATAAAGTCTTGTTGGAACAGAGCCACTCATTTATGTTGTTGATGGCTGTTTTTAGACTATAACAGCAGAGTTGAAGTCATTACAGCAGAAAGCATATGGTCCACAGAGCATAAAGTATTTACCATCTAGCCCAGGCGTCCCCAAACTACGGCCAGCAGGCCGCATGCGGCCCCCTGAGGCCATTTATCCGCCTTCCCCACTCCCCACCCCCGGCGCACTTCAGGAAGGGGCACCTCTTTCATTGGTGGTCAGTGAGAGGAGCACAGTATGTGGTGGCCCTCCAACGGTCTGAGGGACAGTGAACTGGCCCCCTGTAGTTTGGGGACACCTGATCTAGCCCTTCACAAAACAAGTTTTCCAACAGTTGGTCTAGACCAGTGGTCCGCAACCTTTTTGGAACCAGGGACTGATTTCAAGGAAAACAATTTTCCTATGGATGGGGGTTGGGGGAGGAGACGATTTCAGGATGAAACTGTTCCACCTCAGATCATTAGGTACTAGATTCTTGGAAGGAGTGCACAATCTAGATCCCTCGCATGCACAGTTCACAGTAAGTTTCGTGCTATGAAAATCCAATGCTGCCACTGATCTGACAGGAGGCAGAGCTCAGACGGTAGTGCTCACTCACCCATTGCTCACCTCCTGCTGTGCAGCTCTTTTCCTAACAGGTCACACAGACTGGTACTGGTCCATGGCCCAGGGGCTGGGGACCCCTGGTCTAGACAATTTCAAAATGCTGTTAGCCCCATCTCTATGATGGATGCCCATCACTGGTACTGGCTGGTGGTAGTCACCTGTGTCTCCATAGCTGGCTTCCCAGAATGTACGCATCACACCTTAAGAGGTACTTATATATATTCTTGTGAACAAGATATGTAAGTATAGTACTTTGTACTTTCTTTATTAGTTGGGACAATGGAATTCAAAACTAGAACAGAAAAATATTAAGTGGCTTATTAGGAAAATTTATCTGACTAAAGGCCAAGAGTCTCCACAACTTATCATTAATACTAAGAAATCAGTTTAGGGATGCTTCAAAGCTATCCATCTTTCCAAGATGGATAATTGTATATCCAAGAGAAGTTGGACTTCTAAACTTATTTTAAGCAAGGACAATTTTTCATTTTCGTCTTTTATATTTTCGGTGGTATACAGTCTATCTAATAATTACTCAAAAATGCCTTCAGAATACTGGTCTTCTCCAACTCCACCCCACTGAATTCCCATTTTTTTTTCTTTTTTGTTTTTCAGGGGAAAGTGCGAACGCAGTACCCCACTACCACAAACTATGCAGTCAAGTTTCTCACATTTGAGGAAATCGCAGGGGTCAGCACATCCGGAGTGCAATGGATGACCCTCACCCTGGGAAAACCACCTTTGTGATCATGGCATCTCCCTTGCCAGGTAAATATTCAAATTCCCATTTGTTGAAGGATTAACAAGTAAATTTATGCATGAATACAAGCCAACATGAGTAGGAGAGCAGATTGTTATCTTTGCTCAAAAAAATAATCTTTCCTCTAAATGTGTACCAGTACAGTATGTCTACCTGCCTGCCCCTGACACTTAATGGGTTTCTAAAATAGGTCTTACTCATCTTACCTGTGGTTATATTAGGTGATTACCAACCAGTTACTTAGATACCTGCTGCCACTCAGAATCCTAAGTTTTCTTTACTGGTATTTCCTTATATTCCTCACTCATGCTTCCTTTGCTTGCATTAACTGGAATTTTCTCTCTCTCAAGCAGCCTAATCACAGAGCCTCCCAGCCCCATGCTATGAAGAGTCACATACTGCTAGCTTCCTTGTGGACAGGGACCTATGTATTATAATGGTGAATACACACACACACACACACACACACACACACACACACACTCCTATACACACCCCTAAATCCATAGAGAAGACACACTAGACTGGTCATACCATTATGAGTAGCGCTCAGATTCTTTCTCGAGCTCCATCATCCAAAAATATACCTTTCCAGTGTGGCTATCTTGAACTTTTCCAAATTTAGCTGCTGTTGGAGCTCTTCTGTTTTTCCCAGGGAAGGCCGGAGGACTCGATTACTGGCCAGAGCTGCTGCAGAAGGTCTCTGTTCAGGATCAGGCTGGATCATGTTCTGATGATATAAGACAAGAGGAAAGAAACGAAAGTTTCACTGTTGGGAAAAGTCTTCCCACTCAAGCCAACTCCAACCCATCTTCTGCTGATGGATTTTGTAAGACCTCGTTTCTACTTTGTGCAGAGGAAAGAAAGAAATGAAAGCTGAGTCCCACCTTGGACAGGAGGATTGTCCATGTCTGTTAGCATCAGTTGTCCACACCTTTAATTTGTCTTTTTTGAGACAGAGTCTCACTCTGTTACCAGGCGCCAGGCTGGAGTGCAGTGGCGCAACCTTGGCTCACTGCAACCTCTGCCTCCCAGATTCAAGCAATTCTCCTGCCTCAGCCTCCCGAGTACCTGGTACTACAGGCGTGTGCCACCATACCCAGCTAATTTTTTTGTATTTTTAGTAGCCGGGGTTTCACCATGTTGGCCAGCATGGTCTCGATCTCTTGACCTCGTGATCCACTCGCCTCAGCCTCCCAAAGTGCTGGGATTACAGGGATTTGTCTTTAATCATATTTTGGAGCTGGCTGGCTAACTAGTCTATTGCCTTAGTTTTAAAGCAAAACTAAGACTCAATAAAAATTATCCAAATTACTGTAATGGCCAAGACCAAAACCCAGTTTGCCCAACTCTTACTCCTGTTTACTTTCTACCACATCATGTTGCTGTTCCACTTAATTTTAATAACCTACCATGACAGTATTCCTAAAGCATTTAAGGTAGAAGATGTCTGTAACCTATCATGATTTGAATATAATAGAAAATACCTAATTATATACAGCAATTGACACTCATATAGTGAAGAAAACACTGAACCCTCCATTTGGGGACCAGATTCAGAGCCAACTTCACCATTTGTTTTATAAATTTTGCTGAAGCTCCATTTCCCTTACCTGAAATTTGGGATAATTATGTTTACCTTCTTAGACTATTTTTAGATTTTAATGAATTAATATACGTACTGCCCAGCACAGGGATAGCATTTAGGTACTGAAATAACAAATAAATGCAAAGCGGTTTACACATGGGAATAGGTGATTAGACTAAACAAAAGGAAGGAGGAAGAGTTTGCCTCCTTTCAGGAAAGCCAAAGTAGTCAGGAAGAAGGATGGATTTGTAAATACATTTGAAGTTTGCAGGTAAACTGTGAAACTAATTTCCCACACCTGTAGTCCAGCTACTCAGGAAGCTGAGGCAGGAGGATTGCTTGAGCCCTGGAGTTCAAGGTTGCAGTAAGCTATGATTGTGCCACTGTACTCTAGTCTGGGTGACAGAGTGAGACCCTGTCTCAGAAAAAGAAAAAATCTAATCTCCAAGGAAATAGATATTTCTAAGGCAGTTTTGGGAATCCTAACCAATCCTGTTCCCTAAGACATGATATAAAGTCATATATACACTTTTCTTGGTATGATTAAGCTTCTTGACAGTATAAGCTTTTTGTGTCTGTTTCAACATAGTATCTTCCCTTTCTTGCCCCTACACTACTCAAATGTCATTAAGTACAAGTAAAAGATAGATTTTTGAATTGACATTATACCTTTTTTTAATAGCTCAAATAATATTATCAATTATTGATAAAGTAGTCTTATACCTTCTTACATACAGTAGAAATTCATTCTGTTAGTACTATCACTGCTACCACTAACAATAGTTAAAACCCTGAAGTAGCAACAAGAAGACCAGATTTGATTTTGGAGCTAACCAGTCATTAACTGTGACTTCAGGTGTCAAGGAGCTGCTCTGAGCCATGGTTTCCTCAAATGCAGAATAAGATGCTACCTGCCTATCTTACAGGGTTGTTAGAAAGGGCAAATGAAAAAATGTTTGTAACAGGACTTTTTAAACTAAGCATGAAAGATATTACAATTTTCTCCAAGTTTCCTTAGAGATTCTGTACCCGCCCCTTATCTTTTCTGGACTTCTAGTCACATTCCTTTTTCTGTTAGTGACGCTACCAGCATCTCCATTTTTCTTTCCCCAACTACTTGGCATTGCATTAAAAAATAGATATTGCATCTTCTATTCATCTCGTAAGAGATATCACCTTGAGCAGACTGGAAAAGTTTTCTGAGAGCTCCTGAGGGATGTCTGGAAAGTTACCCTTGCGGATATGGTGCCACGCAGCACCATTGGTGGGTAATGACTCTGCGCCTGCAGCCAATGCAATTGTTAATCCCAAGGCAAATATGTCTGCTTTGGGAAGGTGCCGGTAATCCTTCAAAACAGAAGACAGGAAGGCCAGTTACTATGTTAAGCAGAGTGAGTCTAGATTAAAATACAACTGGTAGGAAAGACTGGAGTGCATATAAGGTCTAAACAGACACGATGGTCAAAGGTACATTACTGTAGTGATTTCTAGAGAAGAGAGAACATAAGTCTACCTGATTAACACTGCTGTGCCCTGAGGAGTGCAAGGCAGAAACTTAGTGCTATTTTGCTCTGTCAGGCTCAGAAAGGCTTGCTGCATAACTTGGCTGATCACAGGAAGGAAATACTCATTTTTACCTGATTATCACCCAGGAAGAAGTTATATCTTTCCTAGGCCTGACTTAACAGACATTGGAGAAGATGGGCAATGACTAAACGTCATTTCAATAACCAAAACTGGTGGTGCCATAGAACAATAAGGGTATGATAAAGATGGACTGGACCAATATGGGCTTGAGCAAAAGGCTTCCTTCTTAGGAGGCAATCCATGAGGTTAGGAAGTCTAGGAAATACTGGGAAACAGTAAAAGGCATTTAGAAAAAACAGTCTAAATATTGATTCATCCTTGATTGAGCCAGCTTTCCTCACTTTTTTGGAAGAGTTTCTCTCTTATCTTTGGCCTCCATTTTAAATGGGAAGAGAGATACTATAATTATAAAAATATAGTTTTCACTTTTTGCACTGAGAGCCTCCACTTGATAGTCAAAGGTTAAATGGATGATAAAATTCCCTCCATTTCCCTAATCTATACCTCTTGCAAAATCTCATTAGCCAGGAAGCGACTATCTCCTTCCTCCACTTCCGGTTTACTTATTGATGTTGCATGGCCCAGGTCACCTACAGAAAGACAGAAAAAAGAATAAAAGAATATTAAAAAAAGAGAAATAGAGATTTTAAAAGCATGTCTTTCTCAAAACTGAATAAATTGAGTCATCGGTATAAATTTTATAAGATAATTGTAACTGGTAAGGGTATAAGGCAGACTAACCAATTTTATATATCACATTGGCAGAGAGAAACCAATCAGCTTCATTTGCAACTTCTTCTATGACTCCAGAGGAGTCACTTTGCGTCTTGTGACAAATGAAAATATTACCTGGAAAAAAAAAATCACAGAATAGATGTAAGTAATGATTTCTAAGCTTTTTCATCTCAAAGATTCTTTTCTGTATTTGACAATTCAGCTTCTCTCCTTTCTTCTTTTGTATGGACATAGCAAGGCTACTAAGGGTTTCTTTTTTTTCTATGAAATCTCACATCACTTCTGAACAGCTAGTGATAGATAATACCTATTTAAGTTGAACTGACCTCATATAGTCTCCATTCTCTGAAGAGGCTAGTATCAGAATACTATTGTCCCCAAAATAAAAAAACAGTAAGAACTCGTCCTTGGGTTTCACATTATTGAGTGATAAAGTCACTCATTTCTCCTTACTTTAAATGAGTAACTTGAGTTAGAATGAATATAGTACTAGTCATAAATACAATTGGAATGTAGCTGATATGCTGTCACTTGTCTTCGTAGTAAATTAAATACAAAATTTCACTTTTTTTTGGCCTTACTATATGGGTAAGAGTCTTTTTTTTTCTCTGTCCCCTGGGCCTAGGGGAGAATGGTTAAAACTATTTAACTGATTTAAGGGACACAAATGGAAGAAAGGAGTTCTGCCAGCAAACACTGTCTTTGACACTTGGTAGACATACAGACCCAGAGTTTTATGATAGCATAGAGAGAACAAAATATGGTAGAAGTGGCAGAAGGGAATCATACTGACTAGGTTTGATGTCCAGGTGTACCATGCCAGAGTTGTGGATGTACTTAAGTCCAAGGGAAATCTGTAGAAGGATGTCCTTGAGTTTTGGCTCTTGGAAATGATTGTGAAACTTAGTGTTTTCAGATATAGCAACTTGCAAACTCCCACCTGGGAAAGAACAACAGAGAACAGCCCCACAAAATGAGAGAAAAGGTGTGAGTCTTACAGGTGAAAGCACAGTAAATACAGTTGGCCTCCCATATCCTCAGGGGATTAGTTTCAGGACCCCCTGCAGCTACCAAAGCCCCAAATGCCCAAGTCCCTTATATAAAATGACATAGTACTATAGTCAATACATGCCTCATGAATGGCTTCAGTCCAACAAATAGATTACTTTGGTGTCAGTGCAAAGCACAGTATCTGCCCCATCTATACCACAGACATGTTGGAAAGGAGAATTACAGGGTTTTCAAAGAGGAATAGAAAAAGTACATGGCCCCATTGATTCAAGTATGTATCAGCTAACATTTTAAAAGTTTTACCTAATTCTTAACCAGAAGATCAATCAGAAGATCAATCACCTACTATTGGTGTCAACGATTAGCTCCATGTTAGTGTCAGGCTAATAGTTATAGACCATCTGTAATTTTAATATAATTGAATCTAAGTCTAATTTTATTAAAAATAGATCATAAAATAAGAGCACTTAATTATTGCCAACCCAAGGAAAATATAAAAGCTGCATATACACCTAAATCTTATTTCAGCTACAGTAATTGTGCATCACCTATAGACTCGATTTGTTATCAATTAAATAAAAGGCCTGGATTCATATAACTATCTGATCTTGATTCCAAGGTATTAGAATGCTTCTGAACACTATTAATTATTGTTCATTGGCACATTCTTCAAGTTATAGGGACCTCGCCCTAACTGGTAGTTACAAAGACCATAGCTCCACTCATTGAGCTCTGAGATAGTCATGGAATTTGAGGAAATTCATATTTAAATGCATTCTGTGTAAAATCGAATTTAAAGAATTATTGTAGCATGACACATAAGTTCAAAGGTCAAATAATTCAGCTCCTTTCAGAAACACAAAGAGGACTACAGTAAAGTTTTTTATTTTTTGAGAGTCTTCTTAGAAAAGAATTTATATGCTACATATGACTTACTAATTAGAAAGAATAAGTAAGGAAAGAGAATGTTTTGGAGCTTGTTAAAAATGAAGTCACTCCAAGACAAAGTTTACAGGTGAGGCCATGAGGTGCTGCCGACGAGGAGGAAGGCTGCATCCCCCAAAGCTCTGGTTTCCCTACTGGCCTTCGTGCTGCTTAAGGGCAGGGAGCAGGTCTAACTCATCTCCACTTTCCCCAAGTCTAGCATGGGATAAATATTTTCTGCACTGAATGATTATCCTGACAACAGAAGGGAAAAAAAGAATAAGTTGAGGTATATCTATACATTTAAGAGGAATAGAAGCTCTGTGCTTCCAAGCAAGACTATAATATAGTACAGATATCTTAGGTATGTATGCTATACATGGCGTCAACTATGAAGAGGAGGCAAAGTTTATTTCTGAAGGCTATAAGGTTCATCTCCCTCTTTGTAGATATTTGTCTATATACTACTTACCATTGCAGTATTCACTCTGAATGATCATGTGGTCATCTTCTACCCATGAGGAATAGTAACGCACCACATGGGGATGATGCCCAAGCACTGCATGAGCATAAACTTCATGCAAAGCCAAATTCCTAAGAGACAGAAAAGCATTGAGGAATAAAAACATCCATCAAGATAATGTACATAAAAATGGTTTTTAAAAATATAAGGCTTTATTAGCAATGGCAGAATATTTATTGAGCACTCACTGCTTGCTTACTATTTTATCTCATTGAATCTTCATAATTACTTGGTAATATACAGTGGAAAGGATGAAGGCTCTCAAAAGTAAGTGGCCCAAAGTCAAACTGGTAATAGTAGACTTAAGAGAAGAACCTTGGTCGACCTGGCACCAAAGTCCATTGTTTTCTGATTTAACACAGCATCTGTAAAGAAGACTCTTAAGTGGTTATGCCTCAATGGCAGATGTGCTTCAGGTCTTCATTTCAACGCATCACAATCAAAACTTTTTAATGGACTTAACAAGAAGGCCACTGTACACCAGATTGTGGATGTTATAATGGGCTTTCTTTTCATTAACCCTAATGTTAACTCTAATGAGGTTAACATTAAAGTCAATGTTAACCTCAGCCAATATGATACAGTCACAGGAATAGCCTTGGGGAGAGATATTCCTTGTGGAATAGAAAATCCCAACACAAATTAAGCAAAATAGAGAACTTGATGAGTCACTGTATAAAAATGAAGAACTAGCCAGTTGTGGTGGCACACGCCTGTAGTCCCAGCTACTTGGGAGGCTAAGGCAGGAGAGTCACTTGAACCCAGGAGGTGGAGGTTGCAGTGGGCCAAAATGGCACCACTGCATTCTAGCCTGGGCAATGGACCTAGACTTCATCACAAAAAAAGAAAAAAAAATGAGGAATTCTAAAACCTGTAATCCTCACAGTTCATAAAAAGCATTGGCTGAATCTGAAAATATGTGTTTTCTGGCCGGGCGCGGTGGCTCAAGCCTGTAATCCCAGCACTTTGGGAGGCCGAGGCGGGTGGATCACGAGGTCAAGAGATCGAGACCATCCTGGTCAACATGGTGAAACCCCGTCTCTACTAAAAATACAAAAAATTAGCTGGGCATGGTGGCACGTGCCTGTAATCCCGGCTACTCAGGAGGCTGAGGCAGGAGAATTGCCTGAACCCAGGAGGCAGAGGTTGCGGCGAGCCAAGATCGCGCCATTGCACTCCAACCTGGGTAACAAGAGCAAAACTCCATCTCAAAAGAACGACAGTTCTGGGAATGAAACAAAGTTCTGTTAATTTCCCCTTGCATGTAGTCTCTGAAACTTTACTACTGAATTCATTATTAACATAAAGTAAAAATAAACCAGTGAGTTTACAATAACTTTCTATTTGGTAGTATTTCTGATAAATGAAACAGACACCCACAAGACAATGCCATAAATCTATTCATTTTTTTAAAAGTCAGAAAGACCAGCAGTAGAAAGTTAAAGCCACAAAAAAAAAAAACACACATGATCTAAAATGATGATGTTATATTTCAGGAAGGAACATCTAAGCTAGAAAACTCAGAAATGTTATGAATATGAGATAACATATAATGCAGGGCAGTTTTTAAAAAATGATTTTTAGTGATAGCAGTGCTATATTTTAAAATAATTTGACAAGAAACAGCTCTCCAAATTTAAGTTTATACTTATAGTGCATTTCAAAGGTACTCACTCGCTTGATAATTCTGCCAAAGTTTTCATAGAGCGCTTTATTGCATAAACACATCCATCCAGCCTCTTAATGCACTTGTAGACCGAACCAAATTCACCAACCCCAATTTTTTCTACCTCCAAGAATTCTTTTTCATAGCGGGAAGCCATGTTGGTTTCTCGTAAAACACATCTCTAAAGTATTTTAATAAAAAGCAAATTAGAGTAATTCTAACATGTTGTAAGCAATAAAATTAAACAATATTATAGTCCTAAATTGCTCCAAGTTTTCAAAAAGACTTTTGAGGCAACTGCAATGAATTCTACCTGTGTCAATATTCATGGCAGCAAGAATCTCCCCAATTCAAGGTAGCAAGAATCTTTTTTGTTTTCTTTGCAACCTTCCATAAACTCTATACTGACAATTCTTACATATTTCTCAACATTCTTTTCTCTATCTGGGCCTACTATTCTTTTTTACATGTTCCTTAGGGGACACAACCTCTCAAACCCAGAGCTACTGTCCTCAGTTCAAAGAATGGCTGGGACCTGGGTGGAACAAATTAAAAGAAATAAAAGACCCCCCTTCTTTACGTGTCTCAAAGTCTAAATGCTAACATTTCCATCTCTAGCTGAATAGACGTATTTGTTTTCTGTTTCTTTTCCCAAACACCAGTCTGGAGAACTGATTCTGTCAAAATTGTCAAACTGGCTAGTTCCGAATATGTGCTCAGGTCTAGCGACCACTCCCACTACTGACCATGTAGCAGCATCACTCATTGCCCAGTGAGTAAACAACCCCAGGCCAATCTGAACTCCCTTCAGTTTTCCCATCTGCAAAATGAAGATCATAGCAACTATTCCTTAGAGTTCTTTTAAATATTACATGATAATATACACCATTACAAATGTTATGCATAACACATAGCTAATGATAGTGTCAAGTACATAGTAAATTCTCATTAAACTATTATGACCAAAAATCTCCATAAATTTATATGAATATAAATCCAAGCTGATTTAGCTCCCAAAGTCATCTTTTTTCAGCGTCCCAATCATGAAAAATTTTTCTCCCAACTTTATGACTTTCAAAAAGATGACTTTTTGAAAAGATGGGTTTTACACTACATTTTCAAAATCAAATTCCAATCACTTTTCATCAGCAAGATCTCTAATTTTCATTACTCTTAGCCAGTGTCAAGCTCTGTTTCCTTCTTGTTTGAATTTGCTACTGCTACTGGCCCTCTTTCAACTCCTCTAGTAGTTAAGAGTTATTTTTGCAAAATGATACTATAGAATCAGAGATACCTAATTGTTTCCCATGAGAAATTCAAGCTCCTAGTAAGAAAGCCTCAAGACCTTCTACCAGCTGCACACCTGCTACTTGACTACCTTCCCTCTAGATACCAACTAAGCCAGTGTACCATCTGCGTTTCTCCCTGGCCACTCCCTCACCCACCCTACCCCTCCTACACATGTACTCTGTTCTCCTTTCTTGGTAGCATTGAAGTTATTGATTTCCTTTGTCTAAAATTATCAATATACTATCTCTTCCTACCAAGTCCTATTTTATTGAAGTATTTACTAATTCCTTATAGATTTTAAATATATACATGTAAGATTATGTATATTCACATGCACATATGTACATACACATATACACAAATACACATATCTCATAGCTTCCTATTTATGTATAAATTGTTTTGAAATTTCAAACGTTTTAACTCTTTTTGGGCAGATTCTTTTCCTTAAAGGCTTTCTAACTAAATACAAGGCTTCGCACTTACTGAATGTTTAATAAATAGTGTTAGAGTTTCTATCTGAAATCAGGAGATAAATTATAAGTGAGGAATAAAATCGAAGAGTAAAATAATGAAGGTATAAGTCAGAAACATTTGCACGTGAAAGAAAGCTGTGCCAGGGGTCTTCTTTTCTATGATGTTTACAATAGCCAAGTGCTAACATTTTAACATATTAACCTATCTCATTTATGCAAATAAAACTTGATTCAGAAAACTTTAGAAATTTAAAGGAAAAACAAATATTCAGTTTCCACCATTCAAAAATGTTAAAATAGCAGTGGTTATAGCTCCATTTCATTCTCCCTGTGATGAATATACCATAGATAGTTGTGGTCATTCAGCATACAAAATTTTGAATCTTTTGCACACTGAACATATGCATGTTTTCAAGGTATTATAAACATCTTAATGACAATTTAACATTCCATTGACTTGAAACTGTAATTAGCTTAGCCATTTTTCTATTAGCAGGCATTTGGTCTCTCCCATTTTTGCTGTTACAATAAACATCTCTGAGGATAATATTGGCAGTATTATTTTCTTAAGTTCGATTATCAAATGAGGGATAGATCAAAGACTGTGAACATTGTAAAATCAAATACTGATACATTTAAGAGCTAAAGTTTTACATATAAATCTCTGGCTGTATGCCATTTTTTTCCATTCTCTTTTTCTATTTTGAGACCAAAAAAAATCTTAATTTTCCCTTCACTTCTCTACCCCATGAGTGTAGAATTTTTCTCCAGATTAAAGATAGAAGCAGAAATATTTAATGTAAAAATACTCTGACGTAATGATTCAGCAATATACACCTCAGACACTGCCTGAAAAAGTAACAACTAGCTGAGAACATAGACCCTGAGTAGGGTTCGGATAAATTCAGCTGCAAAGCACATTTACAAAGCAAGGGTGTGCCCTGTGGTGGGCTGGGGAGGGGAGGAGAGAAGGAGAGTAGGAGAATGAGGGGAGATGGGGAGATAGGGAAGAGAGGGCAGAAGGAGAAGGGCAGAAGGAGAGGGTAGAATAAGGGGAGGGAGGGTACAGGAAGAGGGAGAGGAGGGAGGGAAGGCAGGGAAGAAGGGAGGAGGGAGGAGAGAGAGGGAGAAGGGGAAAGAGAGAGAGAATAAGATAAACTGCCTATGTTGTGGCGGCTGGGCCAAAGAACCACACTTACCTTGGCAGGCAGCCCTCCCTTGCCTTCCTCTGGACCAGCTTCCTCACTTAGGAAAAGAAAAGTTTATCAGTATATGATTAACATTTATTGAGCCTGAACTATGCTAGGTTCTAGGGATGTAAGAGTAAATATGACAATTCATTTCTCTTCGGTTTATATGTAGAGGCAGGGATAACCAGGAAATTTCAACTCAAGAACCTAGAACAGGATAAGATAACAAGGATATCATAGACAGCACTCAATTATTTTAAGAGTGAAATGCTTTCCCAGAAGAGAAGATGTATAAGCCAAGATTCTGGGAATGAGCAGGAACTAGCTAAGGGAACAGAGCAAGGTTTTCAGCAAGTAGAACACCATGTGCTGAGAGCTGGAGCAAGAGAGCACAGAACATATGTGAAAACTGTTAAATGAGTATCATTATCCCCAGACGAGGAAACCAAGACAGAGAGAGGTTAAATAACTCTAGGTCAAACGATTAGCAAGTGGCAGAATTAGGACTTGGAGCCAGGTCTGACACCAAAGCATTTGCTCCTCACTCCCACACCACACTCTCCTTCCAACACCCAGCCCTCACCCAGAATCTGGCTTTGTACTCGGTTCACAGGTAGACTACAAGTAGGGCAGAATCTGCTCTAACCCAGGATGACATCTTTTCAATTACTCTTCAATAAGCCAATTTACCGACAGTTACCCTCTTCGCCACGCATACTTGTATTCTGGGTCCTTAAGCAAGATTTCAACTAGCTAATAGATTTTTCTTTTGGAGAAACACAAGGTAGAGATGGCAAATGGAGGGCACTACATTCATGGAAATAAATTGATGCTTGGTATTTGCAATTTAGTACCACTTTGTAATATTTTACGAAGTGTTTTATAAATCATAAAAACATAATAAGGAAAAATACTCTCTTGGAAGCACCAAATGATACTACAGAGTGTCACCACTTTCATTGCCAGGATTTCAAATGAGCTGTCTTTGTTGCTGGCTTCAGTGAGGGTGTAATGATTTAGGAAGACTCGTAAAGAACTCAAACCAATAGAATTCTTAGTAGCCACAGTAGGTGTGTGGACTTGTGCTGAAGTCCTGTTTACTTAAGGAGATGGTGTTGAGAGAACCTATTCTGGTCAAGGACTGATTAACACATGCTTATTGATTCCAAAGAAACAACTTGAGATAGCACATTAAATGCTCTGCAAAGTTTACATTGTTAGCTGTCCATTTATTTTGCTCAGTACATACGAACATAAATGACTGCCCCACTTTGGAGGTGATTCCATTCTGTAAAAAAGCCTTGAAGAGACATAGTAAAGAAATGTTCCTGAGTAATATGCACAATCCTTAGTTGTATGATTTCTGTCATTCAGGGGCCTTTATGGAATAGTGCAGTGTGGATTTCTATTCTTTAGCAGCCCTGAAGGCAATGCTTTTTCACTTCAGCCAATCTTCCATCACCCACAGAGAAGTTCAAATCTTGCTCTATAGCTTTCATCACTAGTCACACAAAACTCAAAGCAGCAATGTACTCTTTGGAGTATGAACTACACCTTCCCCAACTGCCAGCCTCATATTAACCAGAGGAGACCCTTGAATGCAATTCCATAGCTTGTTCAACTTCATAATGGAAGCCAGAGATCTACTGCTTATTCTGTCTTGCTCTTTTATAGAGAATGCACCTACAGTACATATCAGAATGGAAAGATGTTGGAATCTCTACAGTAAAGCAGGTGAAACCAGCATTGATATTTAAGGAGGGGAGAATATTTAAGCATATAAATGTAATTCAAATAGAGTTCTTGTTCCTAATCTTACTTTAACATTCTCTCCTTACCGCTTGACTGTAATAGAGCCAGTTTTCAAGTCATAAGTAACAGAGCACTTACAGATCTGGAATTTTCCTCTTCCCACCAGATTGAAGGAATAATTTTCTGTAGGACTCTGGAGTGAAGGGATTAATATTGACCACAGCAAATGAGGCCATCTCATCCCTGAGGGGAGCAGGTGTGAGCTTCAAATGCTTAGGGCCTCTGGAGAGAAGCTTCCCTGTTGGAGAAATCGCCAACCGACTCAGCATGCTCTGAATGATGACAAAAAACAGATCATAACATCATTAGTAAAGAAATTCCTTATAAGTTAGTTGTTAATATTTGAACCTAAGAATGCTTTTGCTGAAGAGGCCTTATAGATTATCTGTTTCCATGCAAACTAGTTGCATTGTAACTCTTCCTCTCATGAAAACTACAGAATCCTCCTCTCTACCTCTAGACATTCTGATTCATGAAGTCAGCACAGGAATCTGTACTTCAATCAGCTCCAACCCCTTCCCCTGGGCAATTCCCTCGGTTATGAAAATGAACTGTAGCCCTATCTCCAGTTTTTAAAGACAAGGACATTAGGTTTAGACAAACAAAAATGGCCATATATTCTCAGAGTTTATGCTCCAATTTCCCCTCAATTATTCATCCAAATAGTTGTTTGGTGCCTACTACGTAGCAGATGCTGGGTTAGATGCCATGTGGTACAGAAGTGAATTCTAAATCTTAAGGAATATATAGTCCATTATTCAGCAGTTCATCAGTGTTTCAGAAATAATCACCTTGTAAGGAAAAGATTTCATAGACTATTTAAACATGAAAAAAAGGTTTAAATTTCACTTAAAATATAGCATTAAATGAGAATGCTTCATAAAATGGGGCAAAGGGATTGAAAATTAGTACTCCAAGCCCTTAAGATTCAGATCTTTGCAGTGGCTACAACCAGCTACCAACAAATAGGCAAATGTGCAGGACTTACCATTCCAAGTGGGGTACAGTAAGAGAACATTGGCTGGATCTGGTGGCTCACACCTATCATCTCAGCACTTTGGGAGGCAGAGGCAGGCAAATCATGAGGTCATGAGTTAGAGAGCAGCCTGGCCAATATGGCAAAACCCCATCTCTACTAAAAGTACAAAAATTAGCCAGGCATGGTAGCAGGCACCTGTAATCCCAGCTACTTGGGAGGCTGAGGCAGGAGAATTGCTTGAACCCAGGGGGTGGGGTGGAGGTTGCAGTGAGCTGAGATCACACTACTTCACTCCAGCCTGGACAAAAGATCGAGATTCTGTCAAAAAACAACAACAACAAAACAAAACATCGGCTAAACCTAACTGGAACGAACCCAAAGGGTAAGGGAAAAGACAAAGAATTCTGAGGCAGCAGAATGCTGACCTGATGTCAGGGGCCAGGAGAGTAGCTGTGTTATGGATCTTCAGGAGTATGGCAGCACACACAGGGGCCATAGTATGAGCATTGCCCTGTGAGGTCTTCCTAAAGACTTCTACAGTTCTGATCATCTCTGCCCATGACATTTTAGTGTAGAAGTAGAAGCCAGATTGCATGATTCATTAAAGAATGTGAGTCTACAAAAAATTAATATTGATCTACTGTAAATGCTAAATAAATGATTGAATAAGCAGGAATGAAGGAAGCTGTGGAGTATACACAGTAACCTAGCCTTTAAGTGAAGAAAAATGATGTCATTGCCAGAGTCAAGTGTTTCACATGTCTTGGAGTTCATAGGGCTGCTTGAGGAATCCAGGGGGCAGACAAGCCCTCGATGACAGACACAGCTTTCCTGAGTGTTTATCATGAAGACTGTGTATTGGTTCAAAATAAGCAAAACGATAATGATATTTCCCAGTTATCAATGTGATTTGGGAAATGAACCTAGAATTTTGTAATAAGTCATTCTGGGGCCGGGCGCGGTGGCTCAAGCCTGTAATCCCAGCACTTTGGGAGGCCGAGGTGGGTGGATCACAAGGTCAAGAGATCAAGACCATCCTGGTCAACATGGTGAAACCCCGTCTCTACTAAAAATACAAAAAATTAGCTGGGTGTGGTGGCACATGCCTGTAATCCCAGCTACTCAGGAGGCTGAGGCAGGAGAATTGCCTGAACCCAGGAGGTGGAGGTTGCGGTGAGCCGAGATCGCACCATTGCACTCCAGCCTGGGTAATGAGAGCGAAACTCCGTCTCAAAAAAAAAGAAGTCATTCTGGTAATTCATTTTTTGTAGGGCTGATTATTATATGGAAAGTAAAATTCATCTATCACATATGAAACAGTCGGGCAGCCACACCTGGAATGCTGTACATAGATAGTTCCAGCTGCTACATCTTAAGAAAAATATAAGTAGCCTAGAAAATATTCAGATAAAAAGTATTCATATCAGGGAAGACAATATCAGAATTTCTAATCTAGAAATATGAGGGCCAAGAGAATTTGTGAGCTCCACTTATGATGTAGGGAAAGATATTAATTATGTTAATATAGTTGTTATTACCAGAATAGTAGGATTATGAGTAATCCTTTCAAAATCTCAAAGAACGTAGTTTAGGATAAGACATATGAAAAGAATTTTGGCTTGTAAGTAGAGCAATTTGAAAATTTATTGAAAGATGACACAGGTTGAGGGTATAAATGTACTCCAGAGAGGGCAAATAATTCCATATGGAATAGCTCTAGCATGGATGATTGAGGGAGGTAAGGGAAATTTAGGGGATTGCTACTTAATTTATGAAGATGGTGAGAGGAGAAGGCCTCTCACAAAAACACAAACATAGTTATATTGGGACAGAGAAGGATTTTAAAAGGCCCAGTCAATATAATTAGTCCCCCTGATGCTTGATTCTGATATCATTTGGATGTCTGTCCCCTCTAAATCTCGTGTTGAAATATAATCCCCAGTGCTAGAGGTAGGGCCTGGTAGGTGGCATTTGGATCATAGGGGTAGATTCCTTGGTGCCATCCTCATGGTAATGAACCAGTTTTCAGGTTGTTAGTTCATACAAGGCCTGGTTGTTTAAAAGAGCCTGACACTTCCTCCCTGTCTTGCTTCCACTCTCTCACTTCTCTCACCATGTAACAAGCTGCCTCATTTCTGTTCACCTTCTGCCATGATTGTCAGCTTCCCGAGGCCCTCACCAGAAGCAGATACGGGCACTATGCTTACTATACAGTCTGCAGAACTGTAAGCCAAATACCTCTCTTTTCTTTATAATTTATCTAGTCTCAGGTATTCCTTTATAGCAAGGCAAACAGACTAACAAATCCCTTCTGCAATATTCCTACCAAATGGTCATGAGTGAGTGTTTTATGCTTTTAGCCACAGGGAGCTTACACCTCCTAAGCATGCTTTTCTATTTCTAGATGATTCTGCCAGGAAGGCCTTACAGTGAACTGAATTTCACATTATTTCTGGTTGAATCCCTTGGACAAGACTGACTAAACTAATCCTCCTTTCCCATGCAGTTTGTCTTCTGCATAACAATGATCATTTGCCAAGCCTCTTTTTTCTAACGCAAGCTATATTTTCATAAAGTATGTACTTTCCCAGGCCTGGTGCAGTGGCTCACGCCTGTAATCCCAGCACTTTGGGAGGCTGAGGCGGGTGGATCACAAGGTCTGGAGTTTGAGACCAGCCCGGCCAATATGGTGAAACCCTGTCTCTACTGAAAATATAAAAATTAGCCGTGCATGGCGGTGGGCACCTGTAGTCCCAGCTACTTCAGAGGCTGAGGCAGGAGAATTGCCTGAATCCAGGAGGCAGAGGTTGCAGTGACCCGAGATCGCACCACTGCACTCCAGCCTGGGTAAGAATGAGACTCTGTCTCAAAAAAAAAAAAAAAAAAAAAAAAAAAAAAAAAAAAAGGATGTACTTTCCCAGTTCCATTTCAGTTTTGCTCCCAAGCCCTGTTTTCTGCCTCTCCCTTAAATCTTGGCATTATCCAAGATTTCTAACTGGGCCACTTCTCTCCTTACTCTGGCACTCAGGCTATGTGACCTTATCTTCACCCATGGCTTCTACTGCTTCCTAAATGCTGTAGGTATCCAAAAACGGATCTCCAATTTTCATTGTTTTCTTGTGCCCCAGAACCAGTTATCCAACTTTTTATACCACATCGCTGCTTTTCTCCAAACCTGCATATCCCTCAGTGCCACCTAACTTAATTCCATCTACTCAAGAAACCTCAGTCATCAGACTGTTGTTTTCCTTTTTCCCCAATTCCTCCATGAAGTCATCTCTTACTTTTCACTGTATGTCCTAGTCCAGGCTCTTCTCTGTTCAACAGAGATGTTCTGAATACTCCTCAGCCCTCAGGCTCTCTCATGCTCCATCCCATCCTCCATACAAAGGTCATGATTTTTCCAAAAAAAAATCCTCCTACTCAAAACCATGTACTGACTCTCTCAACACTGTCGGGATAAAAATCGTGATCTAGCTTCTGCCCACCTACACAGGCCCTATCTCGCACTCTCTTACACACAGGCCCCTGTCACAGTGAGTAACAGGCCGTTTTTGAGGTGTAGCAGCTCCTTCCCCTCAGTAACTTGGTGGATGCTTTTCCCCTTTGCCTAGAATTCCCATTCCCCTCTTTGCCTGGCTAACTCCATATATCCTTAAAGACGTCTCTCAAACATTATTTCCTTTGGAAAGTCTTCCCTGATAGAGATATAATTCCTAATTCCTTCTCCTCAGGCTCACCATTCCTCTAGCACACATGGTTTGAACTTTATTGTTTCATTTCTTTAATATTTTTTCATTTGGTGAGCTCTTTTTGAAGGCAGTAAAAGTGTGCTGCCAGCAGAGGTCTGCTAACACATCACGGTGTTCAGGTAAGCTCTGAATGATCAAATGAATGTCATGTTTTCTTCCCTGTGTACTCTTACTCAAAGCTGCATTCTCTCAGCCCTTTCTTCCCCATATATCAAAACTGGACCAACTTTCATTGCCCCTCCTATACCTTTTTTTCTTTCCTAATCACTGCACTGAGAATCTGTCCAGAGGTTTCTGACCACACTTATCACATAGTGTCTATTGGCATAACTCCTCTCTCTCTGCTAGGCTGTAAGCTCTTTGATGGCAGAGACTGTATTATATGCTCCTTACCTACAGGGCATTCTCAAAAAATAAATGGATGATTATTTGGTTGGTGTTGTGACCACCAAAAAACCTAGAGATAGACATTGGAGCATATTAGTTTGTCTACAATTCACATGCTGCTTAGAATGTCCTGTTATACCTGGTACCCACACCCAGCAGGTACTAAGAGACCCACTGACAACTACTGTGCCGCAGTCAGAATCACAGATGTTATTATGATGACCTTAAGTGCCTCAAGCTGAGCTAGCAGGAAGCAGAGCTAATACCAAGCCTAGGAATCACACACCATGGCACCAGAGTTGATTAGAGGCAACCCTGTCCCAACTGTGGCTTTAATAACATGAACGATGCAACAGGACACCAATCACAGTAAGAATAAAGGAATATGCTATTAGGACTCTTGCTTATTTGCCATCCTCAGCTTAGAAAGAAGTATCAACACATTTCCTCTTTGCTGACATATAATAGAAGAACCTGTATTTCATTAGACCAAGGAGTGGAGAGGAGTTTCTTCTGGGAGGAGCAGCAGCAAAGAGATATGAATGTGTTCAAACAGGGAATGTGGACATTCCTGTATTAGAAAGTATTAGTAAATAATCACACAAAGAATAGAGCCAGTTGGCGTAATGGAAAGAAAAATAGACTAAGCCAAAAAGATCAGGTTTCTAGTCCTATCTCTAACATTGGCTGAGCTGTGAGATAGTTCCTATCTTGGGCCCTTCATTTTCTCATATGTAAAGTGCACAGGTAGAGCTCTAAAGCTCAATATTCCTCCCAGTTGCAATATTCTTTAACTAGGAACTTTTTTCTACCTAAGATTTGTTTGTGGCCAATAGCAAATAGTTACTGGCACCAATGGTTTTGAGAAGACAACTGGCAAAACATTTAATTCTGTCCATTTTCTGGTAACTTTCATCTCTTTTTCATTTTCATCAATAAATATGTAATTGAGGATATACACAGCCTGGAGGTGACTGCCATACACACATGAGTCTACTTTCTCCATCAGCTGAACTACAGGAGAGCAGAGCTTGGCGACCTGGGTCGCTTTTTCCCCACCCGTTACTTACTTTGGGAGTAGAGGGGCTGTCACTGGGTAGCAGCTTGCTCCTGCTGTCTGGTTGGGCTGGTGTCTCAGGACATGTGAGAGGGTGTGACACTGGAGTCCTAAGAATCTGATCTGGACTTTCTTTGTCTTTTTCCCACGATGTGTCGAGCTCATGCACATTACTAAGGGGAGTCCGAGGTGGTGTGTGCCTTGCCTCTGAATCCTGCACTTCACCGTCCTTTAGGGTTTGGCTGGAAGTCTCCCTGCTTTCTTGTGCCTTCTTCTGCCCTTCACTCTCAGTCTCCTCCTCACAATAGGAAAAGTTTAATTTCTGTCTTGGTTCTTTATTAGTATCTTTGTCACCCATCTCAGCCAAAGAACTTTACAACACAGGCAAAAAGCTCTATCAGAAGGGAACACTGTGAACCTACACAAGTTAGGAGGAGAAAATAATTTAGCCTGAAGGTTTTGCGACAGGAGCCTGAATTTCCCTCTACCAACTAACGGCTACAAGACACAGTGTTAATTTTCTCCCTTAAGTACCACAAAGCTTTAAGACCTCAGCTTATCCTGATTTCCATTCTGATTAAAGAAAGCTCCAGTGACTCTCAGATCAACTAAATCCAGTTCATGTATAGAACTCTTCTGGATATGACACAGAGTGAACCCATATGCTACCAAATACTAGTGAGAAAATTGTATTTCTTTAATTTAGCATAGCTTTAAAAACACCCATTAGCCAATCTGGGAATGAGTTCATTATTGAAAAGAAAGTATTTTCACTCTTTACACCTGCCATTTATAAAGATCACCCTCTCCTCCCTTCTCCTCCCCACCCACCCAATGGCTACCAGCAGGTGATTACAATCACAACTTAGCATCGCCTGGCTATCATAATGATCCTTAAACAGCCTCTAACATATCTTGACTGGAGTTTATAGCCCTGATAGAGGCACAGCTTAGCTCTGTGCCAGACACACCTGCCCTAATTCAGGCATCTCCCTCCTGCAGCTGTTAGCTGTTAGCAGTTAAAGTTTCCAGGGAATTCAACAAAAATTTAAACTGACAAAAGAAAGGCTAGAAAGATCAGCAACACATAGAAACAGATATTGATCACTGGAAAATGGCAACGGCTTTTGCCAAAAAATGCCTTATTTTGTAAAATGCTTTTTAATATCTTTAGTACACATTATTTAATTTCTTTCTCAGAGAAGCCCCCATGAGAAGGACGGAAAACTCTTTGAAGGAAAAAAAACAACTATTATATAATCCAGCTATCCCTCTTCTCTTCCAGTTATATAGCCAAAGGCAATAAAATCGCTATCTCAAAAAATACCCCCATGTTCACTGAAGCATTATTCACAGCAGCCAAGATATGGAAACCACCTAAATATCTATGGACAGATGAATAAAGAAAATGTGGTGGACACACACACACACACACACACACACACACACACGAGTCTTATTCAGCCATTAAAAAAAGGAAATCCTGCCATTTGTGACAACACGGATAAACCTGCGAACATTACATTAAGTAAAATAAGCCAGGCACAGAAAGACAGGTACATGATCTTACTTATATGTGGAATCTAAAACGTTTCAACTCCTAGAGGGAGGGAGTAGAATGGTGGTTACCAGGATCTGGAAAGGCAGGGGAAATGGGGAGATGCTGATCAAAGGGTACACACTTTCAGATAATAAATGAACAATTCTGGGGGGGGCATGGTTGTGTTAATTTTTTGATAATCATTACACACTGTATAGGTATATCAAAGGAAAAAGGAAAAACGCCTCACCAATACTACATTCTAGGAGAAAACTATGTGAGAGGCAGTCCCTGAAAAAGGAAAATGATAACACTCATGCCCCTGAGGAGGCTTCAGAAGGACTGCAAATGAGGAATTGTTTACAAGATAAACATGGGCCCAAAGAGAGACAGGAATCATTGATGAGTTTGAAACAAACGTTACTTCCCTTCTCTTCATAGTGTTTGCTACCTGTCACCCCTCTTCCATTTCCCTCTCTTCACAGATCTCTCCTCCACATCCTCCTAATTCCTTCCCCATTCCCAACCGGAACTCCCGAAGAGGGTAGCTAACTGGGGAGACTTGAAAGTGTTTTTTCAGCTCAAAGCCTTCTCATGCTCCAGCCCTTTGTAGGTGGGGACACCAATTCATACTTCCTTGGCCCTTCCCTACACCTTCCCACCCACACAAACTGTACCAGATAATTCAACAGGGGGAGTTACTGCATTTTGCTCACAAAATGCAGTCACTCACTGCCCACCTTTGTCAGAGATTCAGAAGCCATAATAACAGAATCATCAAAGAAAAACGAGAATTCACAGGTTACCAGTAATGCAATTATTATCAACTGGGATTCTCAGCCTAGGAGTATCCTGTTTACAAATCAGCAAACCAGGTGATAGGATTTCTTTTCTACAGCCTTGATGTTGATCAATTTCCCCTCGCATTCCATGGTTTTCATTCCCGCCCCTCCAGGCTAGCTAGAGGCTGGCTCTGCTCTCAGTAAAACAGGACTGACTGGAAACACTGGCTATATTACTGTCCTGGAGGCAGGGCACAGGGGCTGGTTTATTGGGTATTACCCAAGTTGACCAGGTGTTTTGTTTTGTTTTGTTTTTCCCTGCTGCCTTTTCTCTCTCCCTTGCTATAGTTGGTGATTACCCCTATTTATGACTACATTGTTTGCCTAGGGAGGCAGCTATGCCATTGCAATGGTTTAGATCTCATGTTATCAGCAGTAATACTGTTCGAAACTTGCACGATTCACCTTTTCATGTATCCTCACTTAGAAGGTAATGACTGTGGCTAAGCTTTCAGAATAAGAAACGTGTAACACGTACAAAAAAGATACCCCAAATTTGGACAACTAAATAATAAGAATTGAATAGTTGCTGACCTTGATGACCCAATGGGATCCCTAGAGGTGCTACTATGGCCTCTGGCCCATGGCCTCACTATTTTTTTGGTTATGTTGTAGCCTTTTCTTCATTCTTAGCCTCTTTCCATTATGAAACATTTCATCTTTGCTTCAGTGAATGTTCATCCCACAGGCATCCATCCCAGGCATAAAGCTTCAGGTCATAGTTCAGGCATCCCCAAACTTTTTACACAGGGGGCCAGTTCACTGTCCCTCAGACCGTTGGAGGGCCGCCACATACTGTGCTCCTCTCACTGACCACCAATGAAAGAGGTGCCCCTTCCTGAAGTGCGGTGGGGTGCCGGATAAATGGCCTCAGGGGGCTGCATGCGGCCTGCAGGCCATAGTTTGGGGACGCCTGGTTGAGATGATATGTTACAAGGGGGACCCATGTCATCTATGGCAATAAGAGGAAAAGGAAAGGTTTTCCCCTTAATGCCTGACACATAGTAGGTGTTCAATAAATTGGTTTTGGATGAATTTGGGGAAATAAATTAATATATTTCAATCATGTTTATGATACTCCGTTATTTGACTTAAAAAAAAAAAAGTCGGAATTTTTTTTCAGTATGTCAGGAGTTGCTGCACAGGAGGAAAGCAAAGTTCCCAGGAGTAAGATATGCAAGAAGGAAGCCCACCTTGCATCTCAGGTTGAGTTCCCTGGACTAGGTGCTTGAGGGGAATTCTCCCCTTGCAGACCACTGCTGAGTGATAAGGGAGCGCCTGGACTCCACTCTGACCAGACCTTGGTTCTGAGGCCTATGAAATGGGAAGAACAGAAGCAAGAAAATTTATCTATTCAAATCTGCAAGAGGAGGAAACTTTTATTCACCTTCCTGGATAGACTGTTCCTTTGTAAAAGTAAAGCTAAGGCCATGGAAAATGAGCTATGTGAGAGTCCGTCGCTCCAGGGAAGAACATGCTGGCCTAATTGTCCCCTCAGTCAGAAGATCAAATTGTTAAAAAAACAAAAAACAAACAAAAAATCACTTAAACAGGCCTAAGTAAAGGTCCAGTACATTATTTATTTAAGATTGAATTAGGACTGAGTCATTCCAACTCTGAAAAAATAGTGTTGTTGGATTCTCATATATTTGATGGGACTGCCCCACTGAAAACCATTGTGAAGTCTGGTCTCCCAAGCAAGAAATGACACTTTAACTGTCAGTCTTTCTAGGAATCTGGCAGAATCCAGGACCAGGATTACCCTTATTTATAAAGCGACCTTAGACTAACCGTGGTTCTCTAGGCCTTGAGACAATTGGCCATGGACTTTGAGGACCAGAAACAAAGTTGAGAGAACTCCAGGCTGGTAGATGTTGGCCATTATCACTAGAATGTGCCTCACAGAAGCAACAAACCAGCAAGCAGTGTTCTTGGACAAGGGCCTGTGGGCCTTGTCAAGATCTGAAGGAGTCATCTGTAACTCACCGCTGAGTGAGAGGGCTAGGCGGTGTTTTTAAGGTCCTGCCAGCTTCAACATTGTATGCCTTCTCGTTTTGTTCAATCTCCCATCACAACGGAAAGTGCTGCCTCAACTACACAGGATAAAGTTTGCAGTAACATAAAGAAAACATTATTTTAATCACCAGCATATGTTCTCCAGCTCCCTGGACAAATCGGTCAGCAGCGGTGACACTGAGCAGGTACAAACTGGGGCCGCTGAGCAAGTGGATGTGGATCCATTGAAACCAGGGATCTCCACCGCTCCTGACTCCTCACAGCTCTGTTCCTATGACAAGAATGGTCAACAGACCCAGGAACCTTCACGAGGACCTTTTTTTTTTTTTGTATAAATTTATTTATTATTGTAATTAGATCCTCACAAAGTTGTCTTTTGACTGTCTGTTTTGTTAACGTGAAATTAAATTGTAGTTATAAAGCAAAAGTTGGTTGCCTAGGGAACAATTGTATATTCAGTTTAACAAAATAAAAGAATATTTGTCTTAAAACGCAAGATTTTGTTTGATACATAGCCTTTTGCCATGCAATCACATTATAAAAATGTTCATTTCTAAAGTGAAAATTTCTTGTGCTGTTTGAGCTTTAAGGGTTGGAATGTTTAGGTGCAACGTCAGCTCTTTAAAAAGCAAAGTGATCTAAGATATGTCTCCCTTGCAAGAGGGAATTTACATTTACAATTAACATGAAAATCATGTATCAGACTTCTGCAGGAGATTCTTCAGCATACCTTATCCAAAAATTACTCACTGTCCTAATGTATCATTTTGAAGAGTCCTGGTAAGTATTTCTCCTTGGCAGCCTCACCTTCCCACATCATGGAAGTACAGGTTTGCACATAAAACAACATGATGATAGAAAATATGATATAGTAAATTAGCTTTCTAAACTTCGGTTCTAAGTCTCCGGGTCGATACCAGTAGATATCTTTCCAGGGAGAAAGAGAAAGTCCATCAGCCCTAAAGCTAATGGCTTTGGAAATTGCATATTCTCTATGAACCTCCACTTTATATTTAAAAACAAAATTTTGAATGTCTCAACCTGAGACGCTTTGGCTATGGCCTGGTCTTCTGAAGTGGTGGGCTTTGGAATCTGGCCTGGAGTATTTCAGATATAGCCTAGTCTGGTGCACCCTTGAATGAGCCACATAATGAATGTCCTGGCCCTGATGTTTTTTTCTGGACCATGCCTGGGGCTCCCCATCTATTTCAGTGACTGTCAACATACTCCAGGGAATCAGAGTTGAGTGGTTACTTACTTGCCCTTGTAAGGTAGGGCAGAGGCTGAACTAAATATGTAAATAATGAAAGTAGACCCTGTTCTTTGGGGTAAAATGCTGCATAAGTACATTCTTTATTGTTATATCACAGATTTTAGAATAGAAGTGGCAGTCTAGGGCAGTCATTGACTATCTCCTTAGGGATAGGGGTTAAGTCACATTGCCATTGCATTGCTGGCATGTAGGACACACATGTTCATAAACATCCCCTGGAGTAACTCCCAACACATAACTCTGCTGAGTCCTTTTGAGAACCGGGAAATCGTGGGGCCTTCCTGAACCCTGGATGAATTGTGTACCTCTTCCTCTTGCCACCTCCTTCTTTAGTACTATTTTAATAGCTATTACTATTTTTATACACATCTCCCCTGAAAGAGTTACTTTAGCTGCTAGATTTACCTCATGGATTGAGGCATTAAAAATTTTTTTTAATATAAAATGGGGGTTCATAGAAAATCCCTAATCAATTTCCAAAGCCATCAGCTTTAGGGCTTTCTCTCCCCTGAGCAACTTCCTTTTCCTGATCTTATGAGGAAATATCCCTCACCCCACAAATGCTCCAGCACCTCATGCTGTATATCTGCCAGGAAATGAACTTATAATCTCCACCCCAATCAGTTTGTAACATAAAAGGAAGTGCAAAATTCCCAAACCCTAACGGCCCTTTTCAGTGCTCATTGATGTGTCTATTGCAGACACCTGGGTAGCCAGGGCGCCTCTGCTTCACTCCCCTGCTTGTAAGCAGCTTCTGCCACACATCCAGGATTATGTAATGCATATCTGTCACGGTCCACAGGACCAGGGGACTTAAAAAATAATGGTGACATAAAAACTCACACTGGTAGCTACACCACGGAACCCTAGGTGAGAGGGCGCCCCACCCACACTCAGGTGCACCGGGCGCAGGGAAGAGCTTTCGGGCCGCAGGCGTCCCACACGCGGACGTGCACTCGGACGCCTCCTAACAGGCTCGCGATTCCCGAAGCTGCTTCCGCGGCGCTGCTCCGGCTCAGTGGGAAAGGCGCCTCCGCGGCGGGGCCCCGAGCAGCGCGAGACCCGGCGGGCGGCGGCGGCGGCGGAGGCGGCGCGGCCCGGCGAGGGGGGTTCCCGCAGACCGCCCGCCCCGCCCCTCGCGCCCGCGGCTCCGCCTCGGCTCGCCATGGTGGAGCAGGGAGACGCGGCGCCGCTGCTGCGCTGGGCCGAGGGCCCCGCCGTCTCTCTGCCGCAGGCCCCGGAGCCGCAGGCGGGAGGCTGGGGCCGGGGCGGCGGCGGGGGCGCCCGGCAGACCGCGGAGCCGCCCCGGAGGCGGGAGCCAGAGGAGCCGGCTGCCCCGGAGGTGCTGCTGCAGCCCGGGCGCCTGGAGCTGGGCGACGTGGAGGAGGACCAGGTGGTGGCCGTGTTCGTGGTCACCTTCGACCCCCGCTCGGGTGAGGGCCGCGTCGGGGCCGGGGGCGCGAGGGCCGGGACGCCCCCGGGCTTTGGGGGCGCGGGGGAGGGGCTCGCTGCGCGCGCACTTGCCCTCCCGGCCCCGCACCAGCGCGGGTCCCGGGCTCCCCGGCCCCGGGAAGGGCGGGGGGAGCGGCGCATCCCTGTCTCCCTCCCTCGGGGCGCAGCTGGGTGCGGGAGCGCGGCCTCTCGGAGCGGCCCCGAGCGCTTTGTTCCCGCCCCGCCGACCCCTGCTCCTCTCCTCCTAGTCCCGGCTCCACAGTGGTGTTTGCACTTCTCCAGTGACAGGGGATCCGGTTTGTGGCAACGTTGGCTTTTGTTTTCTTATCTTGGGGGCGAGAAGGTTTTTCTCGTCGAAGGGAGGAAAGCCCCCCCGGGCGAGCGCCCCCTGAAACCCAGCGCCCTGAGCTCCCCGGTCCCCGCCTGCTCGCCCCTGCTCCCCGTCGCTTCCTCCAGGGTAACTTTCCTAGCGGCCAAGTTCACTTTCTCTGACTGTGTAATTTTTAGGAATTAACGCCAGGAGCATTAAGGGATGGGGCTGAGGGATTCAGCTGAAGGCTGATTACAGGCGAAGCCTCCCCGGATAGGCTGTCTTTCGGGGATGCTTGGAGAATTAAAGTCTCATCCCACGTAATCTCAGCCTAACCAGCCGGTAAGGAGGTGTGCATTTTCCGGGTGAGAGTCCACGGGGGATAGAAAGTGGAAGGACGACCCTACGCGCCCAGGAAGCCTTGGCGGGTCAGCCAGGGACTTCTGACTCCGGGAGCCGCTCTGCTGTTCGGTGTTGGGAGGAGGGGGGGGGGGGGTCATCGCTGGAGTCAGGTGTCAGGGCTTAAGGGAACCCAGGTGTGACTGTCAGTGTCTCCAGAGCAGCTGCTGGAGTGTGGGGTGCCTGTTGGTGCAGGAAAATATTGGCTGCTCTCTGGGATGAGGTGGGATGGAGTGGGGAAAAAGGGATTAGTATCTGTAGAAGGGGAATCCGGTATGGCAGATGATGGTTTCCAGGCAGGTAACTTTGGTGTTCTCAGCTGTAGGGAAGAATATGGGATTCACTGTGGAGCTCTTTTGTAGGAACAAGGTTTGTGGGGAGAACTCAGTCCTTTCTGACTTCTGCTTGTTCCTTTGCCCCATTTCCATGGCTTTCAAACTTTTTTTGACCTATCATATGAAGTTAAGTTTATATCCCAACCACAACGCTCACATACATACAGTACTTACGTAACTGAAACAGTTCATGAAATAGTGCTAACATTTTCTACATGTAATGTGTTATTTTCTGTCATTGTTTTTTGTTTTTGAGATGGAGTCTCGGCCAGGCTGGAGTGCAGTGGGGTGATCTCGGCTCACTGCAACCTCCACCTCCCAGGTTCAATCAATTCTCTGTCTCAGGCTCCCTAGTAGCTGGGATTACAGGCGCCTACTACCATGCCCGGCTAATTTGTGTGTGTGTGTGTGTGTGTGTGTGTGTGTTTTGGTAGAGACAGGGGTTTCACCATCTTGGTCAGGCCGGTCTTGAACTCCTGATCTCATGATCTACCAGCCTCGGCCTCCCAAAGTGCTGGTATTACAGGCGTGAGCCACCGCACCCGGCCTCTTCTCTTTTTTTTTTAAGTGTTCATCTTTCTAGTATACTATGCTGCCTGAACCCCTGCTTTCTGGCATCTGATCCTTCCTTATCCAGGGATGGAGGAGGAGGGAGGGAGGAAGAGAGAGCGCAGGAGTGCCAGCAGTGTGAGAGGGAGCGCTTGTAACTTTTTTTTTTTTTTTTTTGGTGGGGGGAAAGCAGTCCTTTCCTGCACGTAAACGTGTTTGTCTCTTTTGTCTTCTATCCTAGTCCTAAATGGCACTTTGCATCTTGTTAAAATTCTCTGATAGACTTTGTAGCATATAATTTTATTTTATATATATCTTAAAAGTAGGATATGTAGTGAATGAATGCTACTGAGCTTCCGAGGGCCTCAAGGGTTAGCACTAGGACAGGGCCCTCAGAATGCCTAATGTATGTACCCCTTGTGTGGTGGTTCCCGTGGAGTGAGGCCCACAGTGAGCTGGAGGCATCACTGGTCCCCTCTCTACTGCTGAGGCAGATCTGCTGTTTGTTCCTATTTAATACTGGCCCACCCAGACTTGTGACCCTCCTTTGCCTGTGTTGCCAAAAGCAGTAAAGTGAATATTGACTTCTTTACCCAAATTAGAGCACATTGTAGAAGTTCTTACCGAGATGTGGTTTTTCTGCAGTTACGTTTCTCTCACTAGCCTGCCTGCTTAGCGGCTTCCCCATGTCTTTCCCATGTGTCCTCAGTTTCCACTCGTAGAAGATCCTTCCTCCCCACCCCATGCCCACCCCAACCCCCCCCCCCCGCACCTCCCCATCACTTACTGCCCAGGCCATGGCGTTTTGTGCATTTTCCCACATCATGTGGATAACTGTTGGCATGTGTCCAAATTAGTGTTTGCATGAGAGAGGGAGAGCGTCAATGAGGAGAGAGTTCATAGCTGTGGTACATGTAAGAGGGAAAAGGAGAGGAGTGGATTCTTGTTAGAAGGGGTGTGTGTGTGTGTGTGTGTGTGTGTAAGCAGGCATGTATGCTGTGATTCTCTGACACAGGTGTGGGAATACGAGAGTAATCCTTTTGCGCCTTTAGATACAAGTTTTGGAAAGCTGGGTTGGGCATCTGTGGGAAGAATCAGAGAAAGAGTCTTAAAGCTTATTTCCATCAGACTCATGAATTGAAAATTATGGTTGCTGAATCTACAATGACTGAAGAACTAGGGTCTTCAGGTTCAAAGTGAGGCTTACACATACATTCAGTCTTTATCTGGAGCAGGGAGCCCTAGGATGGTGGTGCTGATCATCTGGGCCACAAAGCTGCTATTGACACCAGCGCCAGATGCTATTCTGCAAACTGGGTGGAAGATGTTGGCAGTTTCATTTTGTTCATCCTCATGATTTAGAGCCTTGATTTTAATTTTACTTTTGTTATTTGGGTTTCTAGTACAGTTTTCCTAGTCTGCTTAAAGGAAAGGATATTGTCACACTTGGGGAACACCCCTCCCCCCGGACGGTGGCAAGAGTGGTATCACTGTGTGACTGAGGACTTGTGTGTGGGCAGGATGGAGGCCGATGAAGCTTTGGACATACAATGTCTGGACATCTGTGCATCTGCCTCATTAGACTGTTTCTTTATGATATTCACTTCACACTGCTGCATTTAGAGTTTTATTGTGGATGTCTGGGAGAAATTCCTGTGCTCTGTATTGGGGCAGCTTGCAAGAAGAGGGGTGGGGTGAAAGGCAGATCACCTGCTGAGGTTTTCGAGGTGTTTCTCCTTTTCTTCTTGGGAAAGAATTTCTACCTGTGCTTCCCTCAGCCTCTAGCCAGTGCTGAAATTACATCTAAACAACTATTTCATTTAGTGTATCTAAGTCTTCTATGTTTATGTCAAATGGGTGTATTTAAAAATCACACTAATGTTAATCTCTGTAGATTCCCTGTTTGCTACATGAAATATAAGCTTAAAAAAAAAAAAAAAACAATAGAGACGATGGATGCCCAGTGAGATTAGGGCTAGGTCTGGTGTCTGAGGCACAACTTGGAGCGCTGCCCAGGTCATCTGACTCATGGCAAATAATAAATAGCTCCAGCAATGGGTGGGAAAGTGACAAAGTAGAATGCAAATGGAAAATTTGGAGGACGATTTTAAGATGCAAGGAGCAATCCTAAGAATGGACAGCTCAAATGCAGGCAAAGACAAAGCCAGTTCTGATATCCAGCAAGAAAGTCTCACAGGAGGAGAAACTCGGTCATGTCACCATCCTTCCCCTGTATTTCCACCAGATGCCAGTGGAATACAATTGTGGTTAATTTGCTTTAATCCCACCCTGGAAGAATCTTTCCCAGGCTGTTGGTGATTCACCTGCTTGTGGTTTTCAGGGAGAAGTCAGTTTGTGGCCATCTGCTAAAAAGTCAGTTTCTCTTGAAAATTGAGGAGGGGGATATAAGAATGGTAACTGTAATACCCACCACCTCCTGAGTCCCTGCTGTGTGCCAAGGACTGGGCCACGTGTTTCAACCAGCTGCCTCTGATCCCAACAGCCTTCACCATAATCATGAGAAAAACAGGTGCACAGAGCCATTAAGGAGGAGGTTTCCATCTGTGGGATCTGGTGGCCCCTTCAGGTGGTTACATAAAGGGATTGTGTTGTTGGGACCTAGAATACCCTTGGATTCATGCCTTCATTCCTGAAACAGGATTCGTTTTGACTTCCTGATTAGAATCAGGGCATACGTATACAAGGATGGGAAGATGCTCATGGGAAGAGTAAAACCCCAGGCACGTGCTGGGGCAGAGTTCCACACCTGAGGTCAGAGGAGCTGGAAGAGGATCTCCAGCTGAGGCAGTCTCTGCTTAAGAAATGAAGAGCTCAAGAGGAAGTGCTTGCTCCAGAGTCACCTAACAGAGGAGGAAGAAAAAATTCACATATTTCCTATTAAAAAGAAATTGTTTTGGTTCAAGATCATAGCTTTCTCTATTTTAAATATTTGGAGGTGAACTTTCTAGCAGGAAGCAGTCATAGCCGTTAATGTCCATTCTCCCTGGAAAATAGTGATGAATTTTAAGACATCTGGGGGTTTTGTCATTTCTCATTTAAACAGAACTAGTTTTGGAAGACAGAGGCAGTAGTCAACATAGATAGGACAGCCTGTATCTGGCCTAGCCCGTGTGCTTATAAAACCCCAGCTGTGGGAGGCCCTGGTGCACAGAGCTGTCAGGCTGACCTTCAGAGCTGTGGAGTGGCAGGGTTCAGACTATGTACATCCTCAGCAGCACCGGCGTCTGGCCTTCCCTGGGTAACCAAGCTGCCAGCTTCATAGTCTGTTAGTCTAAGTTCCTTTAAATGCAGACATATTTACCTTTGCATGAGCTCAGCACCTGGCAGACGACTGTGCTGCCAAGTTATGCTCCACCAATATTTGTTG